TATCTAAACTCCTTTCCTCAGAGCTATAGGCTTGATAATCTGTCTTCCAAGTTAACACAAGTGACACTTTCCAATACACATAGGAAGAGTCACCAGCCTTCTAGCCTACAATATGCTTATAGCTGCCGATGCCATGCATAGCTTAGATCTTTGTTATTGTAGCACACTACTTTCAGGGAAAGAGAATCTCTAGCAGACTCTCTGCTGAGGAAGGAGCCCCAGGAGGGCTTGATCTCAAGACCCTGAGATTACAACCCAGCAGAAACCAAGAGTCCGACGCCTAACTGAGCCACCCAGGTGCCCCTTTTACAGTCCTTTCTGATTCTAACATTGAGTTTTGGTTCTCAGAACAGATACTTTGCAAGTGGAAATAAAAGTAATTGGAACGTAATACCCTACAAAACTGAACCTTATATATATCTTGCCGGGTTCCCAGTAATAGCATTCACCACAACAACACACTATTAATGTTAATGAAAACTGAATTTGTAACCCAGAGCTATTTACCTTTTTCAGGAGATGCTTCCTGATAAGAACAATGCCTCCCCCAAGATACTTTTGGTGTCCCTCAGACAATATAACTTTCCCATTCTACTTAACCTAAACAGGTATACTAAAGTGACCTACAGCGCCAACTATTTCATTCAATCTTTATCCGACTTCTTTTCTCTCCTGTTTCCGTTTCTTCTGGATTCAGAGTTGGTCACTTAAGATCCCGCCGGCAGGATCTGGTTGCTAAGAGACAAGACGCTGGGAGGGTGGGGACGCTGCACTGCGACAAGCCCGAGAGTGAAAGGGAGAGGGGGAAGGGGAAGGCAAAGGCAAGGCGCAGCGGCCCCGAGCCTCAGCTGCTCGTACCGCCACACTCCCCAGTCTTGCAGGAGCTCGTTGCTTATTGGCTTCGCCGCTGTGGCGCTGGCCTGTGATTGGTGAGGCGGCGCGGAGGGGGGCGCTACCCGGCCCACGGGAGGGGCCGTGAGTGTGAGCGCAGTGGCGGGGCTTGGCGGGGCTGGCTGGCGGGGTAGCCGGAGCTTCATGGCGCGAGCGCTGGCTGTGCCGGCCGCTGCAGGTGACGGAGGCGCAGCGAGGGCCACGGCGGCCCTGGGCAGGTGAGCGAGACGCCGAGGGGCCTCGGGTGCCGGCGGGGGGCGAGAAGTGCGGCAAGGGGCGGGACCGCTGGCAGTCAGCGGCTTACCGCCGCGGCCTCCTTCCCGGAGGGTCCCAGCCGGGGTCCCGCTAGCCCAAACGCCCGCGAACGTCCCCGCGCGCAGCCGGCACTTCGCAGGCCCTGCCAGCCCCGGGTCCCCGCCGCCCGCCCCGCCCGCGCACCAGCTCAGGGAACCCCGGCGTCTGCCCGCTAGGCCGCGCCCGTGTCTCTGCCCGCATCTTCCCTCAGCCTCGCCCCGCTGCCCGGAGCCTTTGTCCGCTCCCCCCCCGCTCCGCGCCAGGAGAGTTTCTGCCCCAAAGGGGGAGGCGGCGACACCACAGCCTCGGGAACCGTGAGGACGCGCCTCGAAGTGAGCCTCTGCGCGGAAGGTTTGCGGGGCTTTGATCTCTTAGTCCTGGGCTTCAGATGTGATTTTATTTTCTCCTTCACGGTGAATGCCAGTTGCCCCGATTCCCGTTTGTGGTCAGGAAGGCTAGGCACCAGTCTTCTCTCTTGGGATGACTCTGTTTAATAATCTCCCACCCGCTGTTATGCCCAAGGCCTTTAACCTGACATACCGGCCCCTTCGTTTCTCACCTTTCCTCCAACGAAAGAAGCAGCTCTACAAAAGCCTTTTTATATTTGAAAAAAGAAAAAAAGTCACATGCCAGTCGCGGACTTCTCTTTGGTCTTAATTAATTAATTAGATTAATTTAATTAGATTGGTTTTAATACATTTAAGTAAACCAAGGTTGTGGGAATGGGGGGGGGTCTCCTCATGAGGACATGAGGAATCTCCTTAAAAAGCGAAGTGCATTAAATAGAATTTTTATTTCTGCTAAATAACATGTTTCACCTTAAACATTAACATCTAAAAAAACTTTTTTTTTTTTTTATGAAATTGGGAGTGGATTTAGTAGTAGTGTAATTTGAGCTTCCAATTTTTTCTTATTGCCACAGTTTTTGATAAGTGTATACTTGTTTTCTGGAATAGAGTGCACTGTGACAGCTATTCCAATGGAATTTATAAGAATATCATGTATATTATAAATGAGTATCACATTTGAAATATACATACAAGTTTTTAAATATATGATCTGAACAATGTTTTTGATTAGCTAACAGGTGCCAGCACATTGCAGTACACAATAAATATTTCATTCATTCATTCATTCACTCATTTATTTATTTTTTCATTTTTAAAGGTTTTGTTTATTTATTTGGGGGAGTGAGCCAGATAGCATGGCAGGAGGCAGAGGGAGAGGTAGAAGCAACCAGGGGGACACAATCCCAGGACCCCGGTATCAAGACCTGAGTCAAGGCAGATGCCCAACCGAATGAGCCATCCAGGTGCCTGCACAATAAATATTTTAGAAATTTTAAATGAATCTTTTTGGAAGTGAAGGGAGAAAACAACAACAACAACAAAAAAAAAAACAGCACCCAAGTCCCTGCCCTGAATTTTGTATTAAACTGTTTTCTAGGGGCGCCTGGGTGGCTCAGTGGGTTAAGCCGCTGCCTTCAGCTCAGGTCATGATCCCAGGTCCTGGGTTCAAGCCCCGCATCGGGCTTTCTGCTCAGCAGGGAGCCTGCTTCCTCCTCTCTCTCTGCCTGCCTCTCTGCCTACTTGTGATTTCTCTCTGTCAAATAAATAAATAAAATCTTTAAAAAAAAAAAAAAAAAACTGTTTTCTACCAAGGTCCACAAATTATAATAAAATACCCTAGTCCTAAAATACATCTCAAATTGTGTGGTATGAATAGTGATGATGTGCTGGGCATACAAGTGGAGAACAATAAAGCTCTGTAAAATCTGTTTTCAACTGGGCTCAAGGAAGTGTTTTACAATTATTAAACTGCATTTTATTAAACTAAAATTATTAAATTGACCCTTGAAAGTGCAGGGGTTGAGGGTACTGATCCCCCACAGTCAAAAATACTTGTATAACTTTCAGCTCCCCCAAAACTTAAGTACTAAGTCAACTCTTGACCAGAAACCTTATTAACAACATAGTCTATTAACACATATTTTATATATGTATTATATACTGTATTCTTGTTTAAAAAGTTAGCTAGAGAGAAGAAAATGTTATTAAGAAAATAATAAGGAAGAGCAAATACTTTTAGAGTACTGTACCAAAAAAAGTGTGGGTATAATTGGACTTGCACAGTTCAAACCTGTGTTGTTCAAGGGCCAACTTACTCAGTAACAGCTATTATGCGTTCTTACTCCGTCCCTCCCTCCATGGCCCTCTGCTTTGGCTCTCAGCAAATAATATTAAAGTTACCTGTTTGACTGCTAGTATCCCTCACCAGACCATAAACTCTTTGAGAATGGGGACCATGCCATATTTATTGGCTTATCACATATCACTAAATGTTCATTGACTTATCACATATCACTAAATGTTTATTGAACTACATCCATTTGGGAAGCCATCTAGAGCCTTTTTTAAAATGATTTTATTTGAGAGAGAACTTGTGCAGGATTGGGGGGGTAGAGGGAGAGGGAGAACCAGACTCCCCACTGAGCAGCAAGCCCCATGCAGGGCTCCATCTCAGGACCCCAAGGTCATGACAGGAGGCAAAGGCAGATACTTAACCCACTGAGCCACCCTGGCACCCCTTATTTATGTATTTTAGAGAGAGAATGCATGGGGAAGGGGAGGAATTGGCCCTGAGGGAGGAGAGAGGCAGACTCTCCACTGAGATCATGAATGGAGATGAAATCAAGAGTTGGACCCAACTGACTGAGCCACTCAGGCACCTCTAGAGCCTTTTTTTTTTTTTTTTTTTTTTGGTAATTTCATTGCCTGAACATACTGGACACCCTTGGTAGCTGGATATGTTATTACAGGACTCCTGGATTGACCTAGAGGAGGATGTGGTGGGTGGGGAGCCAGGTTAACAAAGCAAGAGAAGCCTCCGTTGTAGGAGAGAGGGAGGGAGAGAGAGAGAGCCGAAGAGTACGCACACACCTGAGCGCGCTTGAGCCTGCGCTTTGGCTTTTTATATTTGAGTGGTAGGGCGTGTTTGGGTGTGGGTAAGGATTAAATTTTATCAGGTCAATTGTCCTGTTTTTTTTCTGAGGACAAGGAAGAAGAAACACTTCAAAAAAAGTTGCTTCAAACATAGAGAAATAACTGATTATAATTGTTAATAGAATGTCCCACCATTTATAACTAATAATCACATGGCACAATGACAATGATTATGCTTATCATATAATGTCAGAGTAACTTGTTTTTAAGTTTCATTTGATTACATTAGTAAAAATTAAATATACTCAGCCTTTATTGTAGCATGGACCTTCACTCACAGAAGAATAAACCAAATACTGCTTAGGACTAGAATGAAATTACAATTCTTTTTAACCAGGATATATTTTTGTTGTTGTTTTTTGTTTTTAGTTAAACTCTACCATCCATGAATTGCTAATCGAGGCATAAATCAAACACACTTAGGGATTTTTTTTTTAAAGATATATATTAGTCAACTTTTCCCTCAATGTTTTATTATGAAAAATTTTAAACATATAGCAAAGTTAAAAAAAATGTTATAGTGAACCCCTATATACCTACCACTTATATTCTGCCATTAATATTTTATTATACCTTTTTATCAGATAATTTATCCATCTGTCCATCCTATGTGTCTATCCATCCATCAATCCATAATATTCAAATGCTATAATATTTGAAGAGATTTGAGCTGTATATTCTATTTATTTTAGGTCAGTTTTATTTTTCCTTTACAGGTAGCATATAATTCTTAGGAATAAATTGTAACTGATTTATAACATTCTAAAAACTCTTGGATTTCAGATGTAAATATACCTGTTTGTCTTTATTTCTAGTTCTAAAAGATGAGTCGTGGATATTCAGAGAACAACAATTTCTTGACCAATAACAACCAAATGGTGTTGGACATGATCCTTTATCCATTAATTGGAATCCATCAGACCATCAACTGGGAAACTGTGGCAAGGCTTGTGCCTGGATTAACACCCAAAGAGGTAAATAACCATCCCCTAGATTGTTTTTGGAAAAATCAGAAAATGATCAATTTAAAGAAACATCTTCTAAGAAAGGAAAAAAATTTTGAGTCTTATAAATTCATGTGCATGAATACTGAATGTGCATATGATATGATTTGACTAGATACAAACTACATAAATTACATATTAACCAACCTGGTATGTTTAAATTCAGTTGTTTATATAACAACTGAAAATTCACTAATATCTAATTTTAAGTAACAGAATTGATACTGTAAAATTATGGGTAGATAAATTTTTTGTAAATCAAATTATATATTATTGGGGCGCCTGGGTGGCTCAGTGGGTTAAAGCCTCTGCCTTCGGCTCAGGTCATGATCCCAGGGTCCTTGGATCGAGCCCCGCATCGGGCTCTCTGCTCGGCGGGGAGTCTGCTTCCCCCTCTCTCTCTCTGCCTGCCTCTTTGACTACTTGTGATCTCTGTCTGTCAAATAAATAAATAAAATCTTAAAAAAAAATTATATATTATTAAATCCCTAATGCTGTGCTTCTCAAACTTGAATAAGGAACGGAACTTTTTTTTTTTTTTTTTTAAGATTTTATTTACTTATTTGACAGACAGAGATCACAAGTAGGCAGAGAGGCAGGCAGAGAGAGAGAGGAGGAAGCAGGCTCCCCGCAAAGCAGAGAGCCCGATGCGGGGCTCAATCCCAGGACCCTGGGATCATGACCTGAGCCGAAGGCAGAGGCTTTAACCCACTGAGCCACCCAGGCGCCCCAGGAATGGAACTTTTTAAAGGAAAAAACTTGAAAACTCCCAGTGTTGACTTAAATTATTTTTATTATAATATAAATTAAATGTGCACTAACAATATTAGTTGTAAACACACCTATACACCTTTAAGCAAATTTACATACAGTGGACACAAATGAAACCTAAAAACAACAAAATTCAGACTAAAAATGGTTACCTAATGTGGTAAGTGGTAGTGTTTTGCTGAAGTTAAATTGCTGATTATTAAGCAAATATTGTATGGTCAGTTGTGGCACATAATTTTTTGCATTCAGCCTGTATTGCCATGTGCCTTTCAAAGACTTTATTCTTTTTTTTCCCACTTTTCCCTATTTAACCTACTATGAAGCCTTACATTGTACCATGAGGTTATGTGCCTTCCCCGGACACCAGTGTCTCTCTCCTCTACAGAGTCCCTTCCCTACCTTTCGTTTTAAAAATTAGCCTTAGACATTCAAAACATTTCTTGGTACAACTTAATTGTAAACAGAAAAGCAAATAGGAACTGAAATACTCTGTCATCCCGATGATTTAGGTGATTTTATTAATTTTATGCTCAGAATCAAAACTTAAAATCTAATTCTTACATTCTTTGATTTCTGGTAATTCATCCATGAAACCTACTTTGAGAAACACCTCAGAATTTTTGCAGTTAATAGGAACTCTAAAGTGGGTGAATCATCTCAGAGTTCCCTAGAAGTAGAAATGACATTAATGATTTTTCCCCAGTAGTTTTTGTTTTGTTTTGTTTTGTTTTTGACATAGAGAAAGACACAGTGAGAGAGGGAACACAAGCAGAGGGTGTGGGAGAGGGAGAAGCAGGCTTCCCACTGAGCAGGGAGCCCAGTGTGGATTTCATCCCAGGACCCTGGGATCATGACCTGAGTGGAAGGCAGATGCTTAACGACTGAACTACCCACGTGCCCCTCCCCAGTGAATTTAAAGCATATTCACCGTTGCCCTGGTCCATCATATACACTGAGTAAATACTTGCAGAAAGTTCCACCATCTTTTTTTTTTTTTTTTAAAGATTTTATTTATTTGAGAGAGAGCAAAAGCAAGAGAAAGCAGCAAAAGCAGGGAGAGGGGCAGAGGGAGAGGGAGAAGCAGACTCCCTGCTGAGCAGTGAGCCCCTGACAACTCGAAGTGGGGCTCCATCCCAGGCCCTGGGTTCATGACCTGAGCCCAGGCAGACACTTAACTGACTGAGGCTCACACGCGCCCCCCAACATCTTCTTTTACAGTCGAGAAAACCAATACCCACAAGAAATTACTTGCACTCAGTTATGTTATAAGTCTTTGTGAAATGATGAGCAACTTTTTTTTTTCACTACCTAATTTATACTTTTTCACATTTTTTTTAAGATTTTATTTATTTATTTGAGAGAGAGAGAGACAGAGCAAGAGGGACACAAGCCTGGAAGAGGGAGAGGGAGAAGCAGGCTCCCCGCTGAGCAGGGATCCCAATACAGGGCTCGATCTCAGGACCCCAGGACCACAACTTGAGCCCAAGTCTGACTGAGTCACCCAGGTGCCCCTTTTTCAAACCTTTTGGTTAAGTTTTGAAACTTGTTAGGTTTTAAAATGAGGCAAACTGTGAATTCAACTACTGTTTTGACTTTTTATTGTGAATATCTTCAAACATATAGAAAAGTTGAAGGAAGAGCACTACACCCCTATATCCTTACGTAGATGCCCTATTTGCTTCATCTCTTTATGAAATTTTTTTCTGCAGTATTTTAAAGAGAGTGTCAGACACCGTGACACTTCACCCCATAGACTACAGCATACATCTCCCTAAAATAAGGACATTATTTCATAACCACAGTACCATAGTTGAACCCAAGAAATTAACAATAACTCTGTCATATCATCTAATATTCACTGTGTATCCAAATTCACCCAATTGTTGAATTTTTTTAACTAAAATACTACTAAATGTAAATCAGATTATGTCTAAATAGTGTTAATTTTTAAATAATTCTTTAAATATTTATTTATTTGAGAGAGAGAAAGAGCACATGCATGCACACGAAAGAAGGGCAGAGGGAAAGAATCTCCAGCAGACTCCCTGCTGAGTGTGGAGCCGCTGCAGTGCAGGCCTCAATCTCACCACCCTGATATCTTGACCTGAGCTGAAACAAAGTCAGATGCTTAACTAACTGAGCCCCCCAGGCGCCCCTAAATAATTTTTCCTTACTAAACAAAACATGTCCTTAAAGAACACACATACGCACACACAAAGGAAATAAGTGAAAAATCAGAATGATAAGTCTGATCCTATCTAACATAAGTTGTTAACAGCTTGTATATATCCTTTCAGATACTTTTCTATACATGTAAGAATTGTTAAGATGGGGCGCCTGGATGGCTCAGTGGGTTAAAGCCTCTGCCTTCGGTTCGGGTCATGATCCCAGGGTCCTGGCATCGAGCCCCTCTTCGGGTTTTCTGCTCAGAGAGGAGCCTCCTTCCTCCTCTCTGCCTGCCTCTCTGCCTACTTGTGATCTCTGTCTGACAAATAAATAAATAAAATCTTTAAAAAAAAAAAGAATTGTTAAGATGGACTTAGAACAAATTCACTGTTTTACTGCTTTTTCACTTAGCGTATTATAGACATCTTTATGTGTCAGTTAATAGACTTCTGCAACATTTGAGCTATATCATAATTTATTAAACCAGTCCCTTTTGTTGGGTATGTAGGCTATTATTTCCAGCTTTTGGCTACTACAAATACCACCGTTAAAATATCTTATTCTTCTTTCCTTAGGGGATAATGCATTTTTTTTTAAAAGATTTTATTTATTTATTTGACAGAGAGATCACAAGCAGGCAGAGAGGCAGGCAGAGAGAGAGGAGGAAGCAGGCTCCCCTAGAGAGCAGAGAGCCCAATGCGGGGCTTGATCCCAGGACCCTGAGATCATGACCTGAGCCGAAGGCAGCGGCCTAACCCACTGAGCCACCCAGGCGCCCCGGGATAATGCATTTTTAAGGCTTTTGTTATATATTGCCAACTGGAAGGGCCATCAGTGTTATATTCCAGTCAACATAGCTGAGTCTTGATCCCTGTACTTTTTATATCACATATTATTTGTGTGTGTGTCTTTTCAAAATACGTGTTATCTTTGTTGCAGTTTTAATTTACTTTAAATCCTAAAGAGATTGAACATTTCATATTTTATTGTACCATGCCCTTTTTCTGTTTGTGAATTTGCTTTGTAACTAGTTTTTTTAAAAGATTTTATTGATTTGAGAGAGCAGAGCTAGAGAGAGAGAGAGATTATGAGCAGGGAGGAGGCACAGAGGGAGAGGCAGACTCCCTGCTGAATAGGAAGCCCAATGTAGGACTCCATCTGTGAACTCTGGGATCATGACCTGAGCCAGAGGCAGACAGTTAACTGAATGAGCCACCCAGGCACCCCAATGTTTTGTTACTAGTTTTAAATAATGGTTTTCTATATATTAAATATATTAACCCTTGATCTAGCTTTTACCAGTTTTTTTCCAGCCTATTAAGTTACTAATGATAGTCTCTTATATATAGATGTTTAGAAGTTTTAAATGTTTAATGTAAAATCTGTGGATCTTTTACTTTGAAATCTGCATTTTTTTATCCTGTTTAAAAAATCCTTCTTACCTGAAGGCTATGTATAATACATAGTTACTTAAATTTTCCTGATTACTTTTATTTTCTACATTTAAATCTTGACTCCACCTGGACTTTGATTTAGTTTTAACATTTTTCCAAATGACTAGTTAATTGTCTCAACATTTATTGAATTTTTCATTCTTTTTTTTCTTTTCAAAATTTTTATTCAAATTCTAGTTAGTTAACATACAGTGCCGTATTGGTTTCAGGAGTAGAACTCAGTGATTCATCACTTACATACAACAACCAGTGCCCATCATAACAAGTGCCCTCCTTAATACCCATCACCCATTTAACTCAATCCCCCACCCCCACCCATCAACCCTCATTTTGTTCTGTATCTTTAAGAGTCTCTTATGCTTTGTTTCCCTCTCTTTTCTTTTTTGATCCCTCCCATATGTTCATTTGTTTTGTTTTGTTTTGTTAAGATTTATTTATTTTAGAGAGGGAGCACTTGCAAGGAGCAGGGAAGGGTTAGGAAGAGAAGGAAAGGAAAAGGGAGAAAAGCAGACTCCCCACTGAGCAGGGAGCCAGAGGCAGCTAGATGATGTAGGTAGCTATAATGATGACATCATGACCTGAGCCAAAATCCAAGAGTTGAATGCTTCATGACCGAGCCACCCAGGTGGCCGCATCTGGTTTGTTTCTTAAATTCCACATATGAGTGAAATCCTATGCTATTTATCTTTTATTTATTTCATTTAGCACAATACTCTCTAGCTCCATCCACATTGTTGCAGATGGTGAGATGTCATTCTTTTTATGGCTGCATAATATTCCATTGTACGTATGTATGTATGTGGGTATATATATATACATACACACACAAACACACACACATACATACCACATCTTCTTTATCCATTCATCAATTGATGGACATTTGGCCCCTTTCCATAGTTCAGAGAATATGGAATAATTTCATTCTTTATTACTGGTTTGAAATTCAGATAGATCTCTTCCTACATTTACTGTTCTGATCTATTGATCTCTTTATCTAATCCTGTTGACAGTCCTGTGTTCAATTATTTTCGATATTGCTTTAGTATCTGGTAGACAAAAATCTTGTGTGTGTGTTTTTTAAGTTTCTTGAATGTTCTTTCAGTCTCCTGGGTTATCATTTTTTTTCCACTTTGATGATGATGTGTTGGTATTTTGAAAGTGGAGAAAAGGCAGATTAAGAGTTAGCTGAAATAATGTATCTAATTTTTCCAAAGTGACTACACCATTTTACGTTCCCACCGGCAATATCAGATGGTTCCAATTTCTTCACATCCTTGTCAGCATTTTTATTATCTGTCTTTTTGACTATAGCCTCCCTAATGGGTATGAAGTAGTAATTCATTATGATTTTGATTTGCATTTTCCTGATGGCTAATGATGTACAGTATCTTTTTTTTTAAAGATTTTATTTATTTATTTGACAGAGACAGAGATCACAAGGAGTCAGAGAAGCAGGCAGAGAGAGAGGGGGAAGCAGGCTCCCTGCCGAGCAGAGAGCCCGATGTGGGGCTCGATCCCAGGACCCTGAGATCATGACCTGAGCTGAAGGCAGAGGCTTTAACCCACTGAGCCACCCAGGCACCCCTGATGTACAGTATCTTATCATGTGCTTATTGGTCATTTATAGATCTTCTCTGAAGGAATGTCTGTTTAGATCCTTTGCCCATTTTTAAATTGGGTTGGCTTATTTTTTTCCAAAAATTTTTTAACATTTTATTTTTAGATAATCTCTATACCCAGCCATGGGGCTTGAACTCACAATCCCGAGATCAAGAGTCACATGCTTCACCAACTGAGCCAGCTAGGTACCTCTTGTCTTTTTATTATTAAGTAGTAAGAGTTCTTAATATATTCTAGATGCACATCTCTTATCCAATATTTGACTTGGAAATATTTTTCTCCTATTATGTATGTTGTCTTTTCATTTTCTTGATGGTGTCCTTTGAAGCACAGAGTTGTAAATTTTGAGGAGTTTGGGTTTATCTAATTTTTCTTTGTTGCTTGTGCTTTTAGTGTCATGCGAAGAAACTGTCACCCAATCCAAGATTATTTTCTCCTAAGAGTTTTATAGTGTTAGCTCTAATATTTAGTCTTCGATCTATTTTGAGCTAATTTTTGTATGTGCTTTAGGTAGAAGATCCAGCCTCATTCTTTTACATCTACATATCATGTAATTTTTGTTTAAACACAAAGAACATTTTTTAAAAGATTTTATTGATTTATTTATTTGTCAGAGAGAGAGAGCACAAGCAGGGGGAACAGCAGGCAGAGGAAGAAGCAGGCTCCCCGCTTAGTGAGGAACCTGATGCAGGACCTGGTCATGACCTAAGGTGAAGACAGAAGCTTAACTGACTGAGCCACTGGGTGTCCCAAACAAAGAACATTTAACAATATATTTTAAATTATTTATAGTTCACTTGCTTCTTTGTTTAAGCAATCATGTATTCATTTCAAAATTCATAATTTTCTTGTTTTTACATATTAGAAATCGCTGTAAACCTTGTTGGATAAATCTACATTCATTTTCCAATATAGCTATACACTTTACCTAAAATATATCAAAGAAGAGATGCCTGGGTGGCTCATTCGGTTAAGCCGCTGCCTTCAGCTCAGGTCATGATCCCAGGTTCCTGGGATCGAATCCCGCATTGGTCTCCTTGCTCAGCAGGGAGCCTGCTTCTTTCTCTGCCTTTGCCTGCCACTCTGCCTGCTTATGCTCACTTGCTCTCTCTCTCTGACAAATAAATAAATAAAATCTTTAAAATATATATCTATATATATTTTATAATCTTTGATATCTATATATATAGATCTATAGATCTATATAGATAGATAGATATCAAAGAAACCTGTGTTTTAAAAGCCTACCTATCACTTTACTTTCTCTGTGTTACAAAAAGTAAATTCATTTTGAAGGAAAAACGGATTCAATAAACCCATTTATATTTTTTATCTTTGTCAACTGATCATAAATGCAGACCATAGGGAAATATGACTGATAAAGGTATGGGGCGCCTGGGTGGCTCAGTGGGTTAAGCCTCTGCCTTCAGCTCAGGTCATGATCTCGGGGTCCTGGGATCGAGCCACACGTTGGCTCTCTGCTCGGCAGGAAGCCTGCTTCCCCTACTCTCTCTCTGCCTGCTTCTCTGCCTACTTGTGGTCTCTCTGTCAAATAAATAAATAAAATCTTTTTTTTAAAAAAGGTGTTTTTCATTTTCCTATAACAGGATAAATATATTATTCCATTGGGTTAAAGTGTATTTTTAAAAGTTCTTTGGGCTCCAGGGTATCAGAATTAGTTACTCTTGGTTTTGGCTTAGATGACCATCACAGGGTCATGAGATCTGGCTTCGCAGGCCTGCTTAAGATTCTCTCTCCCCCTCTCCCTTTGCTCCTCATCTCCCCCCCCACCACTACCACACTCCCTGCTTACACACATGCGCATATGCTCTCTTCCTCTCAAAAATTTTTAAAAAAGAAAAAAAGTCAGAAGCTTTCATTTAATTTTCTAGTATTACCCAGCAGATTGGAATCCACTTGTAGAAAATGATTATAGAAAAATAACACCGAACAGAAGGCAAGAAATTAATCTTATTTTTTAATTAAGAAAGACCTGCATTTCCAGGTGCCTGGGTGGCTCAGTGGGTTAAGCCTCTGCCTTCAGCTCAGGTCATGATCTCAAGGTCCTGGGATCGAGGCCTGTATGGGGCTCTCTGCTCAGCGGGGAGCCTGTTTCCCCCCTCTCTCTCTACCTGCCTCTTTGCCTTCTTGTGATCTCTCTCTCCCTCTCCCTGTCAAATAAATAAATAAATAAATCTTTAAAAAAAAAAAAAGAAAGAAAGAAAAGAAAACAGACCTTCATTTCCTTCCTTTTATGTCATTACAGTGTGCAAAAAGGTTTGATGAACTGAAGAGCAGTGGAAGTTCACCTGTTGACAACCAGTATAGTCCCCTAATGGCTGCTGGAGAAAGTCCTGTGGAAACTTTAGCCACGTATATCAAATCCTCCCTTCTTGACATGCAGGGAGAATTTCAGGAGACTCTGGTTGGTCCAGATGCAATTTCCAAAACTGGTAAGGTTTGAAAACAAAATGCAGTACTTGTCCTTATGATAATTTTGCAAAATATGCATTTCAATCAACTTTATTTTTTAAAGGCTAATATAAACATTGCCAGGAAATCTATTAGGATGTATATCTTCCTGATTTTTAGAAATGTGTCTTTGCTATCTGAAAAATGTTTTAATGTTAATATGCAGGTCAAACACTATCACCGAAAAACCTTTCTATTATATCAAAATTTACTACTCCAGTCTGTTAGCCTAATTATGTCATAAATTTAAAGAGATTTGACCTACACTTTCTACTTAATTTTTTTTACTGAGAAAATGTGGCTTGTTCCTCATATTAGCTACCTTTTACGTAGTCAACATTAGCTTCAAATGACAACATTAGCTTCAACATTAGCTTCAAATGACAGAGGATAGAAAAGATGTTTTCTGCAGTTGGAAATAATAGCTGATATTTTAGAAACCCTGAGTGTACTGAGTGATTTAAATCTCAGCAGCAGCAGTCAGAATACTGATATGAGAAATTGCTTCAGAAAGAGAGAACTCTATTGTTAGCTTTTGAACACTTGACCCCTGTCCATTCACACCACATCGTTTTTTAAATCTTCAGTGTAATGTTAGCAATGTGTGATCCTTTTTTCTACTGTTTCTTCTGTATACCTTTAGAAATATTAAGGGATAATGCCACCTAACAGAGTACCAACTTTAACTAGGCTTGGAAACCATGCATTTACATATAACCATTCAGTAAGTAAAAACCGTTCTCAGCTAGAAACGCTAACCTCCCCCTTTGTTTTTGTATGTGTTTGTTTCTGTATTTAAGGAAGACATAGTATAGCTTCCACAAGGAATTGTTCTTCAGAAAGTGAAAATTGTACTACTCGTAATGGTGGAGAAAAGACTGAAGAATCTGAAGGGTAGGAGGCTGGTTCTTTGCTGGATAAGATTTAATATGGATATCAACTTTAAGTTATAAAATATATGATTGGTGATTGTATACATCAGTTACCATAATTTAGGAATTTTACATTACACAATTGTTCAAATTGTTGGAATAAAGGGTAGTTCATGCATTGAACTATAACAATTGCTTGATGGCTAAATGTGGCTTATTCATGTTATAATTAAATGGGACTACAGTTTTCCTTTATAAAAATTCATTTTCATATTTGTAAATATTAGGAATACCCTCTACTAATATAAAACTTTAACCAAATTTTAAAACCCAAAGAAGAATATCTTCCATTAGTTTACAATTTTTTAAAACTAGATCTATATTTTAGAGCCATTAGACTATAATTCTCATTATAGAAACATTTAAAAATTAGAATACACCTTTCAGTATATTGCAAGTTTTGATTGGTATGTTTTACATATAATAAATTAGACATATTTTAAGTATTTACCTTGATGAATTTTAACAAATGGGTACACCATGTAACCATCACACAAAGATATAGAATATTTTCATATCTGAAAGTTCCTTTCTGTATTGTAATAGTTTTATTCATATATAATTCATATGCCATAAGCTTTACCCTTTTGAAAAAGTTCTGGAGATGGATAATGGTGATGATTGTACAACAATATGAATGTTCTTAATGCCATTGAACTGTACACTTAAAAGGGCTAATATGATAGATTTTATGTTATGTGTATTTTACCACGATAAGAAAAATTCACCCTTCTGAAGTGTATAGTTCAGTGATTTTTAATTTATTCACATAGATTTTTAACTGATAGTTTTGTTTGTGTAGCACAAAAATTTATCAGATAATTTTTTACTGGAGTTATCTGGTATTTCATATTACAGACCCATAAGCCACAGAAACATGCTTCGTTATAGCACCCATTACCTGCTTGTATTTTGACTGTAATTTCTTTGGAAGAACAATTTGCAAACTTACTTAAATTCCTTTGACTGTAACAAGAATGTTGGTTAATAATCCTTGTTCTGGTAGCCCCGTTTTGTTTCAAATGTTATTTTTTTGTATTAAAAAAAGGTAATTGAACACATTAAATTCATATTGTAGGACAGTGTATCTCTTTCTACTTATTCTCTTTTGTAATACTGTGAAGGTAGTTGTGCATCACACTGATACTGCTTTTTGAGGTGATATAATTTTCAAAGGAAAGTAAATTCAAAGAGTATATAATTTTTGAAGCAGTAGTTCTGATGCATTATCTAAACTTATTCTTAAATTATTTTTAAATATGTTAATAAACACATTGTAGTCTTAAGAATCCTTTTAACTACATTTACTAACTTATATTTGATGAATGTCTAGAAACAAAGTTTCTTACTGTTAAAAATAACTATGTAGCCATTGCTAGTTTTTTTATTCTTTAATGAAAGATTTTACGTGTTTTTCCTATTTATTGATAGTAAGAAAATTTTAGTATTTAGTCTCTACTCATCATACCCATAACCATGTAAAAGTGCCATTTTATGTTCTTCATAAGAATTAGAAGGTATTATTTAATTTTTCTTTGTGAATTGGTTTTATTTTTAAAAATTTTATTTACATATAACTTGAAAAATAAACTTTAAACCACGTAAATTAGAGTCCTATAGTAAAATATTTTTGTTTTTCTAAGCTCTTAAGTTATTAAGCTTAATAATCTTAAGGTCACTAGCTTAACTAAAATGAGTCAAAAACCTAAGATATAAATCAGATTAGCAAGACACTTAATGAAAAATTCCGAAAGTCAAACCCTATAAAATTGATTTATGGTCAAAACTTCCAAAAACGTCTTATTCTCATACTTCCAATAAATGTCAGTGTTCTTAGCTCCTCTTCTAGAACTCTAATAATTTCATTTCTGTGTAACATTTTTTATGAAGGCCAAACATGGTGATCCATGTATGTGATGAAGCAAAAAACTTGAAAGAAGATTTTATTTGCCCACGAGATCTTTTGATATCAGAAATGAAGTACTTTGCTGAATATTTATCTATGGATGCGCAGCGCTGGGAAGAGGTGGACATTTCAGTTCATTGTGACGTTCACATTTTCAACTGGTTGATAAAGTATGTTAAAAGGAACACTAAGGAGAATAAAGATTGTGAGATGCCCACTTTAGGTAAAAGACAATCTATTGCTTATTTTGTGGTGAAATTTATGTGTCACCTGGTAGTTGCTTCAGGCCAAATGTGCAATGTGGAAAATTATTTGGACATTAGTATTTATGCTCAGATTAGTAACCACCTTTTAAGAAACTGATACCTCATTCTTTTTTAGTAGATTATAGTGAATGGATGGCAAGTGGACAGGTCTCTAGATCAGCGGTTCTCACTGTATGGTACATGGACCTCTGGTATCCTAGAGATTTTTTAGAGGATTCACAAGGTTAAGACGATTTGCATTATAATACTAAACTGTTAGTTTTTCTCTGTGTTGACCTTTGTTCAGATGGTACAAAAGTAATGGAGAAAACTCTGGGAGCTTTAGCACACATGAGGGCAAGGATACCAAACTGTGCTAGTAGTCACTGTATTCCTCAATACCACATGCTCATAGTTAAAAAGGAAAAAAAATGAAAGAAAAAATTCATTCTCACTTTAAGAATAACCTTGATAAAACAGTGAAAATTATTAATTTTATTAACTCTTGACCCTTGAGTATGCATCTTTTTCATGTTCTGTGTGATGACACAGGAGGTGCACTCATGCTTTACACCGAAGTGTGATGGTCGTCTGGAGGAAAAGCACTTGTGCAGTTGTTTGAGTTGCAAGCTAAACTAGTGGCTTTTTATAAAGAGAAAATCACTTTTCCTCGAAAGAATGATAGGCAAATTATGGTTATTCAGACAGGCATTTGGCAGATATTTTCTTGAAGATGAATTGAGGGAGTTGATCAACTAAAGGGAAACAACTGACAGTATCCATTGTCAATAATAAAATTCAGGGTTTCAAGTGAGAATTGGAGTGTGGAAAACTTGTATCTGCTTCCATGTGCTTGACAGTCTCTCCATATTTACAGACTTTTCTGATGAGACTGGTGGTAATTCTAACAAATGTGATTTTTAAAATATATATTGTACAATGAAATGTTTCAACATTTGGAAGGTCCACATAACTCAGTGAACCAAAATTTTCCAAATGACCAATGTGTGTTGTTAAAATCATACCTGGGTTAAAGATCCACTGACAGTGCAAGATAAGTCATTGGACTTTGAGATAACTGAACAGGAAAAGTTCATTGATTATGACTTCAGATTCCATTGCAACTAACCTTTAAAACTACCAGTTGTTGAGTTTTGATGTAACAGCAGAGAAGACTACCCACAGATTGAATGTAGAAACAAACAGAATCCAGCTGCCTTCTATTTAAGTCAAGCATTGAAGAAATTTGCAAAAAATGTCAGTGTTACTCTTCTGGCTAATTTATATTTTGGAAAATGTGGTTATTTTTCATAAAATATGTTACTATGTATTGAGTCTATTATTCTTTTAAAAGGAATTAAGAAATATTTTTAAATTTTCCCTGTTTTAATTTATGATAAATTATCATTATGATAAATAAATTATTAAAAATATATAAATAAATTATGATAAATAAATTATCAGTATCAATACTGATAGGTGTAACCTATCTAAACAAAAAAGGGGTCTTAATATCAAAAGTTTGAGAACCCGGGGGCACCTGGGTGGCTTAGTGGGTTAACGCCTCTGTGTTCGGCTCAGGTCATGTTCCCAGGGTCCTGGGATCAAGCCCCGCATCAGGCTCTCTGCTCAGCAGGGAGCCTGCTTCCCTTCCTCTCTCTCTGCCTACTTGTGATCTCTGTCAAATAAATAAATAAAATCTAAAAAAAAAAAAAAGATTGAGAACCGGTATTCTAGATGAAAGGAAGAATAATTACTAAGTAATCTTTAGTTGGGTATGGACTTGTATAGGAAATCACACATGTGGTTTAATAAAGTCATTCCATGTGTAGAGTATACTATTTATAGCAGTACTAAAATATTTTTTTAATCTTGTTAGTAAATAAATCTGTAGTGACAATATAAAAATTTTCTGAAGAAATTTCTAATTTATTACATTTTAGTGACCAAATTAATGGAAAAAAGTTTCTAGTGGCTCTTAAATAAAAATTACAAGTTTTCCAAATGAAAATTTTCAGCCAGAGTCCAGAGATTCCAAATCACCCAGATATGATATGTATATGTGAAATAAAAAATCAAATTATGCAGGGAGAAAAAAAATATTGTTTGATGTAGCATATTAATGCATTTAGTAAAGTTAAAAGAAGTGGAGCGAAACCAGTCACTCTGTAATCAGTGGCTCCAAACACAAACTTTTATAAAAGCAATCTTTAGGGGCACCTGGGCCGCTCAATTGGTTAAGCATCTGACTCCTGATTTCAGCTCAAGACGTATCAGGGTTGTGAGACTGAGTTCCACGTTGGGCTCAGCCCTCAGGGAGGAGTCCTTTTGAGAATCCCTCTCTCTCTGTCCCTCTGCCTCTCCTACTTGCATGTGCATACCCACACTAAATAAATAAATAAATAAATAGATACATATTTTTAAAAATAAATAAAAACAGTCTTTATTCTAACCAGGAAAACCACCAAAATGTTTAATTAAATCTCTGATAATGCAGACAGTGGGTCTTAGCTGGAATTATACTTCCCTGAGGGATTTTTCACTAACTCCCTCCTCCCTTCACCATTGCTGTTTGAGAGCCTTTAACCTAGAAGTAATATTTAAACAAAGATTAAAATTACTTATTTTAATCGTTGTCTGTATAGTCCTTTATTTAGAAGGATTGTCTTAATATATAATGCAAAAAAATCATAGTTGTTTTGTTTTTTTTTTCTTAAATATACCTCATAGGAGATGACTTGGGTTTACGAAAATAATAGTGTCAGCTGAAATTCCCCTTTCCCTGGTTATGCCTCTCAATGCCCACCTCAGCCTGCCTTTAGGAAGTAACTTTAGCATTTCTGCAATAATAAATTTTATATTATCTTTCAGAATCTTTTAATATGTGTTCATAACAAGCATTGTACTGCTTTTGAAGTAACTTCGCTAATAACAAGTGCCTTCATTAATCATTTAGAAGATTTTCTCACGATTTTTTTATGTGATGAATTGGTCTCAATTTTAATTATCTTTTTCTCTGATTTAGTTAAGGAGAAAAGTTTGCATGTGTCATGTCTTTAGCTGGAGTCTTTTTTACTTGATATTGATGATGTTCTAGAATATAGGTAAGGTTTGGTGGGGTGAGGTCCGGGGCCGATGACCAAGAAAGAATTCTTGAGACATCTTTGGTGCAAAATGGTAGTTTATTAAAGCACGGGCACAGGACCCATGGGCAGAAAGAGCTGCTGCCCCTGGGTTGTGAGGGGTGGCAGGGTATTGTACCATGGGGGTGGGGGAAGTAAGGAAAAGGGAGGTTTCAATATGCTAAAGAGGACCTACAAGATACCAGGATACCAGAGGCCTTGCCTTTGCCAAGGTGGTTTTGCCCTCTAGCAAGGTATTAACATTAAGATGGGTGGGAGATTCCTAAAGAATGTCACATATGTCCCACCCAGGGGTGGGGGTGGTAGTGGGGAGGTTGCAGGGTGTCGGCTTTTGCTTTGTCCTCAGCCAGCCTTCTGTTCCCTCTTCAATATGAATCTAATTTCGGGGCAGATTTACTGTGTGCTTTTTCTATACTGTATATTTTAACACTGCATTTTCTTTCTTTCATGTATCTAAGCTTTATGATGTAGTAAGGTTATAATAAATTGCTCTTTTAATGTAACATCCTCTGTTAAGGTGAGAAGGAGCCTGTTCTGAGGTGATTGAGGTATAAATCAAAAGGAGAATTTAATTTTTTTCTTTTTTTTTTAGAGCCAGGAAATGTCATTTCAATTCTTATTTCTTCAGAGTTTTTGAAAATGGATTCATTGGTAAGTATTAATAAAAGATCCAAGCTCTTTTCGGGGTGCCTCGGTGGCTCAGTCAGTTAAGTATTGACTCTTGATTTTGGCTCAGGTTATGATCTCAGGGTTCTGAGACTGAACCCTGCATTGGGCTCCCCTCTGGGCATGGAGCCTGGTTAAAATTCTTTCTCCCTCCCCCATCTCTCCCTCTGTTTAAAAAAAGAAAAAGAAAAAAACACTTTTTTATTCACCTATGTTTAATTTAACATACAACTTGATTTTTTCTTCCAGGGTTTAGGAATTTTTAAGACATCTTACTAAAATAGTTGTTAAGAGTATGATTTCATAACTGAACTAATAGGGGTTTGCTCCTTGGTGAGGTACAGAGACTATATAAGGTGGAGTTGTCACACAAAGGAAACCATTTGCAGCAAATACAGAGACCACAGGGAACAACTTCCAAAACCAAAGCCATCACTCCCAAGCAGCCGTGAGCGTTGCTTTTATTCAGGGTTTAGGATGAATATTCATAAAGGCGGGCTCTCATTGCAGGTAGAGGAGGGGCATAAGGTACTAGCGTCCTATGCTAAGTTAATGAAGCTTGTGCTCTTCCTAGGGTGGAGACTTTAATATTACAATGAAACAGAGGTAACTGGAAGAGGGGGAAGGGATATGGGCATAAGCTGGAGGAGTCCTCAGCCTTGTTTACTTTGGAAACTGTACTGGGAGTTTTTACCACGGATTTGTTGTCTCCAGGCCTGATGGAGACTGTTTTTTCATTCCATTGATTCCCTTAAAATTCTTAACTACTGAGGTTTTTGTATTTCTTTGTAACTCTGATAAGTCCTAGGAGGTAGGGCACAGATCACAGAAAATAGCTTGGGGCCTGAAATGGCTTCTCTGTGTCAGGAAAGCTTTGTCTGTCTTTCTTATTCTAGGGACCTCTAACTCTCTCTGTTTACAATTCCTTTAGAATAAACTGCTCTTGTTCTGTGGGGACAGGGTGAGACTACTATGTCCCATTAATACATTATGCCTATAAAGCAAACAATTTATCTTTAAGGAATAGTTTACTGTTGTATTAGATGAAACTAAGCAGAATTAACTTTGACTCAAGAGGAATTTTGCTCTAAAACTTAATTAAATGAAAATTAATTGGAATATATTTGCTTCACTAAGTAATTTCTTTAAACATGTTTTACTTACTTGTGTCTTTCATTTATAATTCAGTGAATTAAAAACAAATGCCCAACTATTAGTATAACCATATATGTGTAAACCAGATGCTAATGTTTATCATTTAAGAGTAGTTGATAAAATGTAAAAGTACAATATATACATGCACATATCAGGCTCTAACACTGAATATATTTTTTTATTTAATAAAGTTCTTAAGCATTCACATGTTTATATGTGTTTATGTTAAGGCAGAGTACTCCTTTGCTATATTAACAGATGTGAAATTTGTTTACTTGATTATTTGGAGTTTTATTAGTTCTCTGTATTCTTCCTACTCCTTAGTTGTTCCCCCATTTAGTTGTTAGTATTAATTGCTTCAGAGTGGGGTTACAGAAAAAAGTAGAAATTAAAAGAGTCCTTAATCTTTGAGTTTTGAGATCTAAGCCCTAAAGCATAATTTTTATGCCATAAACAAAATATTTGGAAAATACATGATTAGCCAGCATTACTTTTCCCCAAAACCCAAATCCACCTCAAAAAGAAAGTAAGTATACCTCAGGTTGGAGAAAAGGGAATAAAGTCAGAAAGCAAGCACAACACAACTGAGAAAACCCTGAAGTGACTAAAGTTATGTTTTAGCCACTCAAAGAAGTAGAGGCTTAATATTGCCATTAAGTGTAGTTATAGAAAGTCACATCTTATATACAGGAGTTTGTGGACTAAGATTTATACCTGCCACAATTATGAAAGATGCTCATTGCATTATTATTTAGAGTATGCGAGGAAAATTGAAAGTTATTTTCCTAGCTCTGTATGTGTTTGTAGAAACATGGCCTGCTGGCTCATCTTGGAACAGTATAGATTAACCCAGATAGGCAAAATCCAGTTAGTGCCTAGCAGTCCATAGATCAAGCTTTTAATGAATTTTGTCTTTAAAAGGTATTGACATGACATCATCCTCATGCTACTCTTTTCAACATACTTTTTCTGTTGTATGTTTTTTTAGGTTGAACAATGTATTCAGTATTGCCACAAAAATATGAATGCCATAGTAGCTACCCCATGCAACATGAACTGTATTAATGCAAATCTACTTACACGTATAGCTGATCTGTTCACACACAATGAAGTTGATGATTTAAAAGACAAGAAAGATAAATTTAGAAGGTAATTTTTTAAATTTAATTTTTAACCAAGTATTCCTGTTAGAAGAAATATACTTCCATTTCATTTTAGTGAAATATTCTATTTTATTTCAAATGAAATAAAATTTATCCAGATAAATTTTATTTATCTGGATAAAATTTATTTCTCTAGATAAAAATTAGTACTTAAATTATTTTGTATAATGCACGTATGAACGTATTGTGTTAGTGAATTATGTTAAAAATTATTAAGTGTGCATGGGTGGCTTAGTTAAGCAGCTGCCTTTGGCTGAGTCCTGCATCTGGCTTCTTGCTCAGTAGGGAGCCTGCTTCCCGCCCCCCACCCCGCTCCCAGCTTGTGCTCTCTCTCTCTCAAATGGATAAATAAAATCTTCTAAAAAATATTAAGATAGGGGGCGCCTGGGTGGCTCAGTGGGTTAAAGCCTCTGCCTTCGGCTCAGGTCATGATCCCCGGGTCCTGGGATTGAGCCCCACATCAGGTTCTCTGCTCTGTGGGGAGCCTGCTCCCCTCCCCCCGCCCCCTGCCTTCCTCTCTGCCTACTTGTGATCTCTGTCAAATAAATAAAATCTTTTTTTTAAGATTTTATTTATTTATCTGATAAAATCTTTTTTTTTTAAGATTTTATTTATCTGACAAAGATCACAAGTAGGCAGAGAGGCAGGCAGAGAGAGAGGGGGAAGCAGGCTCCTGCTGAGCAGAGAGCCCAATGCGGGGCTTGATCCCAGGACTCTGGGATCATGACCTGAGCCAAAGGCAGAGGCTTTAACACACTGAGCCACCCAGGTGCCCCAAATAAATAAAATCTTTAAAAAAATATTGATAGGCCTCATTATAAAAAGGAAGAATGGTATGAGATGAGGTCAGCAGTGGTCATATCATTTAGGTACTCATTAAGTCTTGGCAAAGAGGGTATGCTTTATTCTAAATGTCAGTGAGAGCAGAGGAATGGCATGATCTGATTTGTTTTTAAGAAATCATCCTAGTTGCTCTGGGGACAATAGACTGTAAGGATGTAAGAAGCAAGGAAGCTATGAAGAGGCTAGTGCAGTAGTCTGGTGAGAGATGAAAGGGTTTGGACTAGAGTAGGAGCTGGTAAGAAGTAGATGGATTCAGAGGGTGTTATTAGATCTGACAGATTTCAGATGGAATAATGTGGAGAGAGAGTGTATCCTAGGATAATTACTAGATTGAGGTTTAAGGAGCAATTAAGTGGATTATAGTGCCATTAATAGAGGAGAGATTGAGGTGACGGGAATCAGGAGATGGATTTAGGTCTTATTAAGAGTATTTGATATATTTCATATACTTTTGGGACATCAAAAAAAAGAAGAGGTAGGCTAGCATAGATAGGTGGGTATTGAAGTCTGAAACTTAGGTCAGAGGTTAGAGCTTAAAATAGAAATGTGAGTAAATAGATTTGAAGCCATGGAACTGGGTGCGATTTTTTTTGCAAGATCATTCTTTCTCCACTGAATTGCAGTGGCGTCTTTGCTATAAATCAGGTGACTGTATATGGAAGATGTGTTTTGGAACTCTCCATTTTGTTCTGTTGATTTTTTTCTTCTTTTTTTAAATTGAAATATAGTTGACACACAATGTTACATTAGTTTCAGGTGTACAACATAGTGATTTGACAACTCTATGCATTAAGCTATGCTCCCTACAAAAGTAGCTACTATCTGTCACCCTACAATACACTTACAAAACCTTTGACTATATTCTCTGTGCTGTGTCTTTAATCCCATGACTCACTCATTCCCTAACTGGAAACCTGTATTTCACACTGTCCTTCACCCATTTTGTCCATTCCCCTATCTCCTTCCCCTCTGGCAGCCATCAGTTTGTTCTCTGTAGGTCTGAGTCTGCTTTTTGTTTGCTTATTCATTTGTCTTTTAGATTCCACATACAAGTGAAATCAGATGGTATTTGTTTTTCTCTTTTTCACTTAGCATAATGCCCTCTGGGGTCCTTCCATGTTGTCACAAATGGCAAGATCTCATCCTTTTTATGGCTAAGTAATATCCCATTATGTATATACATAGACCATATCTTTTTTATCCATTCATCTATGGATGCACACCTGGGTTGCTTCCACATCTTGGCTATTGTAAATAATATTATAATAAACATAGGGGTGCATGTATGTTTTCAAATTAGGGGAATTACTGGATCATATGGTGGTTCTATTTTCAATCTTTTGAGGAACCTTCATCTGTTTTCCACAGTGGCTGCACCAATTTACATTCCCACCAACGGTGCATAGGAGTTCCTTTTCCTTCTCATCCTTGCTGTCACTTGTTATTTCTTATCTTCTTTATTCTAACCATTCTGACACTTGTAAGGTGATATCTCATTGTGGTTTTGATTTGATTTTGATTTCCCTGATGATTAGTGATATTGAGCATCTTTTCAGATGTCTGTTGGCCATCTGTATATCTCCTTGGAAAAATGTCTATTCAGGAGCATGGACAGAGGTTTTTTGGTATTGAATTTTATAAGTTTTTTATATATTTTGGATATTAACTCTGTATTGGATATATCATTTGTTAATATCTTCTCCCATTCAGTAGGTTGCCTTTTTGTTTTGTTAATGATTTCCTTGCTGTGCAAAAGCTTTATATTTTGATGTAGTCGCAATTGTTCATTTTTGCTTTTGTTTCCCTTGCCTAAGGACTCATAGCTACGAGAAAGTTGCAAAGGTCAATGTCAAAGAAATTATACTGCCTATGCTTTCTTCTATGAGTTTTATGGTATCAGGTCTCACATCTAGGTTTTTAATCTGTTTTGAGTTTTTTTGTGTGTATGGTGTGAGAAAGTGATCCAGTTTCATTCTTTTGCATATAGCTGTCCAGTTTTGTTGATTTCTTTATCTCTACTTATATCAGTAGTACACTATCTTAATTACAGTGGCTTTGTAATATTTTTTTGGTATGTAGGAATCTAAATTCTGAGACCTAAATACTTGAAAATGGGGTTAATATCCTAAATCCAGATCTGGCCTCAGGATATACATTTGGAATTAATAACACAAGACTTAAAATTTAGTCACATTATACAGAATTGTAAAGTTTTTATAAACATATGTCAAATGCTTAATGCTGTATCTGGCAGTCTTTGCAAACAGTGTTCATTTAACCCTCATAAAACCTTGTGAGTTTGGAATTATTAGCCCCATTTTATAGATGAGAAAACAAGGTTCAGATAGGTTAAGTAGTTGCCAAAGATCATATACCAAGTTATTAGTAGACCCTTAAGTTTTCAAGTTCCTCAATATCAAATATTCTTGTCCAAATATATATATATTTTTTAAGATTTTATTTATTTATTTGACAGAGAGAGATCACAAGCAGGCAGAGAGGCAGGCAGAGAGAGAGGAGGAAGCAGGCTCCCCGCTGAGCAGAGAGCCCTATGTGGGGCTCGATCCCAGGACCCTGAGATCATGACCTGAGCCAAAGGCAGTGGCTTAACCCACTGAGCCACCCAGGCACCCCATCCAAATATATTCTTGATTAAGCATTTATCATTAGTAGGTTTACTTACTTAGAACACTATAAGTATTTCATAAATTCCTGAAGAGAGTCTCTCCAAGGATTTACTAATTTTATTTTCTACATATGCAGATAGGTCGGTGTTTTTTTTCATTACTAGCAAGTAACTTTAATAATGTAAATAATAGAAAATTAATTTGTTGGTCATTTGTTGTTAATAGTAAACTTTTTTGTAAGAAGATTGAGAGACTTTTTGATCCCGAGTACTTGAACCCAGATTCTCGGAATAATGCATCGACGTTATACAGGTACAGTGATGTGTTTTTCTTTGGTATTCTATACAATGCAGCTAAATTGTTTAATTTTATCTCATTTTAAATGTTCTTCTTGTTTGTTTTTGTGTCTTCTTTGTGTTATAGATGCTGTTTGTGTAAGAAACTTTTAACAAAAGAAACAGAAAGAAGAATTCCTTGCATTCCTGGAAAAATCAATGTGGATCAACATGGAAATATTATCTACATTCACATAAGGTGCAGTAAAATAAAGTACACCTTTCAAATGTGAATTACTAGTGTTTTTCTAAAGACATAACTAATTTTACAAGGTATAGAACAACAGTTTTTTCTGAATGTGATTTAGTTTTGACTTGCAAAGATGCTTTCAAAACAAGTTTTGTAAAAGCTGTATTTTGTTTACTGAGTAAATTTCATGATTTTTTAGACTTCAAAATAGTAAAAATTATTGTGCATTAATCTTGAAAGATATTCTGGTCAGTGCCATTAAAATGATTTCTTTTTTCTAATGATTTTATTTATTGAATTTATTGAATTTATTAAATTATTATTTATTGAACAAACATTATATTGAATTTGACAGAGAACCATATTTATTTTCAGATAAATTTTGGTAAATGAGGAAATTGTCTTTAAAATTGGATATTCCTGGGGCACCTGGGTGGCTCAGTGGGTTAAGCCCCTGCCTTCAGCTCAGGTCATGATCTCAGGGTCCTGGGATCGAGCCCCGCATTGGGCTCTCTGCTCAGTGGGGAGCCTGCCTGCCCCCCCCCCGCCTGCCTCTCTGCCTACTTGTGATCTTTCTCTCTGTCAAATAAATAAACAAAATCTTTAAAAATAAAATAAAATAAAATAAAATTGGATATTCCTGGGGTGCCTGGGTGGCTCAGTCATTAAGCGTCTGCCTTTTCGGCTCAGGTCTGGGATCGAGCCCTGCATTGGGCTCCCTGTTCGGCAGAGAGCCTGCTTCTCTTCTCCCACTCCCCCTGCTTGTGTTCCTTCTCTTGCTGTGTGTCTTTCTCTCTGTCAAATAAATAAAGAAAATCCTAAAAAATAAAAAAATAAAATTGGATATTCCCTAATCTATTTTTTCTTCATACTTCGTCAGTATTCCATTAATATGTAGCCCTATTTTATTCCCCTTTAAATTCAAAACTACTTCTCATTCTTGGTAGAGGGAAGAGTATTGTAAATTGGTATAAAATCTCAGAAAAGCAAGAATTCTGAAATTATTTATTCTCTAAAAATACATAAATAAAAATAAATAAATAAATTCCTACTAGGAATTTATCCACAGAAGTAATGTTAGATTTGTGAAAACACTCAACAAGAAAACCTATTGCTATATTGTTTAGATAGGAAAGAAAAGGGAAACATCCAAATGATTAAATGAACTAAAATATATTCATGTAGTAATATATCTATATAAAGCATGTCTAATTAATTCTTAATGTGCAGCCTTTGAGAATAATGTTGTCGAAGTATGTATACTTATATAGCAAGTTGTTAATGGTGAATTAAGTGAAAAAAGTCATAAAACTAGAAATATTCACTAAAATGTAAACTGTGGTGTTACCTTTAAGTGATAGTATTATGGATGCTTTTAATTTTGTTCTTTTTTTTCTATGTTAAAAATGTACAGCACTTTTGTTAAAGGAAAAAATAATATAAATGTTAACTTTTGTATTTTAAACATTAAAACAAATATAGAGAAACACATTTAACCCTATTATTAATATTACAGTCATGCTTATTTTTTAAGCATTTTTTAAAGTTTTTTTTTTTTCTTTTAGTAGTATCTGCACCCAACATGGAGCTCAAACTCATGACCCTGAGATCAAGAGTCACATGCTCCTCTGACTGAGCCAGCCAGGTGCCCCTCGAGTCATGTTTAAAATTTTTCATTTTTCTCTTCATACAATAATCAGGGGAATCTTTATTAGTTATTATAAGCACATGGGGTTACTTTTTGTCTTGAGACTTGATTTTACCTTTCAGAAAGTACTTCCATTCTGACAGCAATAACTATTAACTATGTGAAAAACTTGATATTGACTTCAACATCCATTTTTGTTGTTTTATTTAGTATTTTCCTATAAGTCAGCTGTTGATGACATTTTTTAAGTTGTCTTTAATTAAAGCAGATGTGCCTATGCAACTTGTAATAACATCATGATATTTTGTTTGTTGAATAAGGACAAAGATAGCAAAGCTCAAAATGATTAAGGGACTTGGAAAAAACAGGAACTGGAGTTACATATGAACATAGCAAATAGGGTTTTAAGCCTTTGCTATTTTTTAAGTTTATATTAACTTCAAAATGTGTGTTACCAAGACCTGATTTTATATTACTGTATTACTCAATTACTTGAAAATGCCTTTTGAAAATAATATAAAGAAATGTTTAGAATCACCAATGATTAGTAACTTATTTTACAATATGTACAATTAGAATAAAGGTTCTATTTAGCATCATATGCCTAAGTCCCAACTGTTAGTGTGCTCAAAATATATTTAATTTAGCTTAGCAAAATAATTTGGCATTCAGTCTTTTGTATCTTTTTCTGTTGTCCACAGAAAAAGAGAATAAACAAACTCCCAAATGAGATTTTTTCTACTATTCAATGTAGTCCATCCCACAGTTATCATTTGGAGAATGTTTTTGGAAATAAGCCACAAATTTAAAAACATTTGCTTAAAACAAATTGTTTTTATTACTTGCTTGTAAAATAATAGAATAATTGAGGCTCTTTTGTCCAGGGATAAGACTTGGGATGTTCATGAGTATTTGAATAGTCTTTTTGAAGAATTAAAATCTTGGAGAGATGTATATTGGCGCTTGTGGGGAACAGTCAACTGGCTAACTTGTTCAAGATGTTATCAGGTGAGTTTTTTTGTTTTTTTTTTTTAAAGAATCAATATTTGGGGGCACCTGGGTGGCTCGATGGGTTGAGCCTCTGCCTTCGGCTCAGGTCATGATCTCACGGTCCTGGGACTGAGCCCCTCATCTGGCTCTTTGCTCAGCAGGGAACCTGCTTCCCCTCTCTCTCTGCCCACTTGTGATCTCGCTCTCTATGTCAAATAAATAAAATCTTAAAAAAAAAAGAATTAATATTTTGCTTTGCAAACTCTTAAGATTTTTTTTTTAAAGATTTTATTTATTTATTTGACACAGAGAGAGAGAGACAGCAAGAGAGGAACACAAGCAGTCCCCACTGAGCAGGGAGCCCAATGCAGGGCTCTGTCCCCAGACCCTGGGATAACAACCTGAGCTGAAGGCAGATGTTTAACTACTGAGCCACCCAGGCGCCCCTAAGATTTTTTTTTTTTTTTAAGATTTTATTTATTTATCTGACAGACAGAGATCACAAGTAGGCAGAGAGGCAGGCAGAGAGAGAGAGGGAAGCAGGCTATCCGCTGAGCAGAGAGCCCGATGCGGGGCTCGATCCCAGGACCCTGGGATCATGACCTGAGCCGAAGTCAGAGGCTTTAACCCACTGAGCCACCCAGGCGCCCCTAAGATTTTGTTTTTAAGTAATCTCTATATCCAGTGTGGGGCCAAACTCAACCCTGAGATCAGGCATTCCATGCTGTACCAACTGAGCCAGCCAGATTCCCGGCCAGCAGAGCAGGCTTTTTAAACATAGGCTGTTTAATTAGTATGTTTGGATGTGTTTGGACAATATATGACATTTTTTTTTAAAGAAACTAGTGATAAAAACAGTAGCACTATTAAACATTGCTTGTATCTGGTTTTGTCTCTTACTGTATATCTTCAACCTCCTCTTTATTTTCATTACTGAAACAATCATGCTTTGTCTAATTTTTAGAAAATCAACAGGTTTTAAGTGACCAAATCTATTTTTTCAGTGGGGAAAAAAAATATCAAAATCCTTACACCCTTCAATTATTTTGGGCCAAACTGTTTCTCTGTTAGCCCATTAATTTCTTTAGAAACTCAGAAGCACTTTGTAGATATGGTATTATTGATATGTGCTCTTCTTACCATAGCAGTTGTGTTCCCAAAAAGATTAAAAGATTTTGTTCATTTTGTTTAATAAATGAAATCTGTAATAAAAACATAAGAAAGCTTATTATTTGAAGGTACCTGTAATAAATCCTTTTATAGAATAAGTAGATCTTTGTAAGTCACAGTCATTCCTAATCAGTCTTAGGCATAAATCCAGAGTGTTCTACACAAATTTTTTTATAAATGCCTAATGTCTCCCTGCCCCCAGTAACTTCCTCTCTCACTTGAGTAACAGTTTTCAGTAGATGGAAGGAAGAACAGCTTATCAAACCTATCATGGTGAGTTTTTTCAAACTATGTGAATTTCCACCCAATGGACTCCCAATTCCCACAATTTTTTAAATTGGATTTGTTGAAGTATAGCATTCATTTAGTAAAATTTATCCTTATACAGTAAAATTCATCCTTTTTTATGAGGTTCGACAAACACATATAGTCATGTAATTACCACCGTAGTCAAAGCATAAGCCACTTCCATCAGCCTAGACATTTCTCTGGGCCTCTTCTCATTTCTTCTTCCATCCCAGCCTCTGGCAGCACTGATCTGTTTACCATGCCTGTTTACTTGGCTTTTCCAGAATGTCATATACATAGAATCATACTGTATTTAGCTTTTTTTTTTTTTTTAAAAGATTTTTTATTTATTTATTTGACAGAGAGATCACAAGCAGGCAGAGAGGCAGGCAGAGAGAGAGGAGGAAGCAGGCTCCCCGCTGAGCAGAGAGCCTGACGCGGGGCTCGATCCCAGGACTCTGAGATCATGACCTGAGCCGAAGGCAGCGGCCCAACCCACTGAGCCACCCAGGAACCCCTGTATTTAGCTTTTTGATCTGGCTTCTTTTACTTAGCAAATGGATTTGAAGTTTATCCATATTGCTTTATGTGTCAGTTTATTTCTTCTTTGTGCTACATTGTGTAAATGTATCCCAGTATGTTTATCCACTCACCTGTGAAGGATTTTATAGTGTTTCTAGTTTAGAGCTATTATGAAAAAAGCAACTATGAACATTTCCATACAGGCTTTCATATGAACATACGTTTTCATTCTTCTTGAGTTATTACCTAGAAGTAGGATTGCTGGATTGTGTGGTAAATGTAAGCTTAACATTTATGATGCTTAGTTTCCCAAAGTCCTTGAATCATTTTGCATCCTTGCCAGCTCTGTGTGAGAGTTCCAGTTGTTTCACACCCTCACCACACTCTTTGTTGTTAGCTTAGGTTTGGGGAGCGGGGGGTGGAGGTTATTCGTTTGTTTTTTAAACTTGGTAGATATTTAGTAGATACTCCCTACAGTGGACTAGCACTAATAATCAAGGATTTCAAGCTTCTAAAATCTGACTTGTTTAGCATGTTGGAACACAGAAAGTGTGAGGGACTTTTTCACTTCTTTATAGCAAATTGAATATTGATTTACAGTATTTCTTATGGAGAGTTTATAAACTCATAAAATATTTCAGATGTAAAATATTTTGTGTATGAGAGTGCACCTTATAGCTATTATCACTCAAAAATTTTTTAAAGACTTATTTATTGTAGAAAGAGAGAGAGTGCAGGGGCAAGGGGCAGAGGAAAAGAGAAAATCCTCAAATAAACTTCTTGCCAAGCGCAGAGCCTGATGTGGGACTCAGTCTGAGGACCCTGAGATCACGACCTGAGCCGAAACCAAGAGTTGGCCACTTAAGTGACTGAGCCACCCAGGCACTTCTAGACTCAAAATTAAATTAAAAATGGTTTAAAAATCATAATTGGAACTAATGACTAAGAATCTGGAATTATGGACTATCTTTTATTGCTTTTATGTTAAAAATAAGTGCTTAAAATTGTTAATGTTGTTCTTTATTTTATCAACTTGTAAACATATCTGAAAACTATTAATTTTATTATTAAATTAAACTATTCAAGTATTCAAAGTTGTCACATAGTTTTCATTAACATTGGTGCTAAATATTTACCTTAAAAAATATGTCTAAGAATAATCAAGCGAGGCAAATTTTATTTCATTTTTTCATTGGAAAACTTTTTATTTGATTAGCTATTTATAAAATTAGATGTACATTGAGATCAATTTAATGCACCTGAATTTTGAGTAAAGTGTTTTGTTTTTGCTTTGCTTCATTGAGGTGTAATTACCTGCCATAAAATTCATTCATTTTGGGGCGCCTGGGTGGCTCAGTTGGTTAAGCCGCTGCCTTCGGCTCAGGTCATGATCCCAGGGTCCTGGGATCGAGTCCCGCATCGGGCTCCTTGCTCCGTGGGGAGCCTGCTTCTCTCTCTGCCTCTGCCTGCCGCTCTGCCTGTTTGTGCTCTCCCTCTCTCTCTCTGACAAATAAATAAATAAAATCTTAAAAAAAAATTCATTCATTTTAAGTGTACGATTCACTGATTCTTAGTAAGTTTATAGAGTTGTTCATCTATCACCACCATCCAATTTTAGTCCATTTCCACCATTCCAAAAAAGGTCCCTTGTTTCCATTTGCTGCCATTCCCCAATTTATCTCCAACACCAGGTAACCACTAATCTACTTTGTGTCTCTAGAGATTTGCCTTTTCTGTACGTGTTATTTAAATGGAATATACAGGGGCACCTGGGTGGCTCAGTTGGTTAAGCATCTGCCTTCAGCTCAGGTCATGATCCAAGGTTCATGGGATCAAGTCCATTTGGGCTCCCTGCCCAGCACAGAGTCTGCTTCTCCTCTCCCTCTACCCTTCCCCCTGCTCATGATCTCTTGCTTTCCCAAATAAAAAAAATAAAATACTTTTTAAAAATTAAAAAGAAAATAAATGGAACATACATTTTGTAGTCCTGAGTAAAGTTTTTTGAGATGTAGAATTTTATTGTGGGAATAATAATTGTTTTATATATTTCTTTTATTCAGGCTTTTCTCTGTATAGAATTTTCACATTGTCAATATCACTCAGAAACAGTGGTTTATCCTACCGCATCAAGTTCACTGAGTACTATTGGCACTGGTATTTATCCCTGCTGTAACCAAAAGGTTCTTCGGTTTGATCCCACTCAGCTTACAAAGGTAAATTTTGTTTTTTTGTTGTTTCAAAGATTTTATTTTAAAAAAAGATTTTATTATCTTAAGTAATCTCTACACCCAACATGGGGCTGAAACTTACAACCTCAAGATCAAGAGTCTCATGCTCCACCAGTTGAGCCAGCGAGGTAAATTTTGGATGTTGCCCTTTGGTAGTTACAGTGCTCACTGCACTGTCTATTTAATCTTTCCTCCTTTTGTTGTTTTTAAAGCATAAAGATGATACATTCATATAGGAAAGACTTTAAACAATACAAAAATAAGTATAGTTAAAAGTAGAAGTCCCTTTATACCATTCCCTTGTTCTGCATCTTTTCTTAGAGGTAACCACAGTTAACAGTTTCCTTTCAGACTTTGTTTTATACAATTTTTCTTTTTTTTAATATTAAGTTTTCTTGCCTTCTCTCTTTTCAAGATTTTATTTATTTGAGAGAGAGCACGCATATAAGCTGGGAGTGGGGCAGTGGGAGAGGGTGAATCAGGCTCCCCACAGAGCAGGGAGCCCAATGCAGGGCTTGATTTCAGGACCCTGAGATCATGACCTAAGCCGAAGGCAGCTGCTTAACCAACTGAGCCACACAGGCACCCCTGTTTTATACATTTCAAGCACAAATTATATGCAGTTTTTTATATTGGAAATAGGATCATACTATTCATATTATTCTATAACTTGCCCTTTTCAATCAACAATATACCTAGGTTATCTTTCTGTCATTTCTTTTACTGCTGCATAATATCCTAAGCCATGCATATATCACAATTTATTTAACCAGCCTCCTATCAATGAACATTTAGGTTGTTTCCAGATTGATGGTATTTGTGTGTTGTAATGAACATCCTTATACATATATCTTGGTACAATGTGTGAGTATTGCTGTAGGTTAGAGTCCTTGATCACTAACACTTTTGAAAATGTTATGTAATTAAATTTCATCAGTGGAGGAAAAGAACCTAAAGCTCTTCCTCCTCCTCATCCATACAACAGTTATTTATAAAGTATCACAGTTGTGTCACACTGTGCAAGGCAGAGAATAATCTAACTTCTGTAAAATTAAATAGTTTCTCCCTTTGTGGAGCTTATAGCTCATGCAGTAGTATCAAAAGGGGGGTAAAAAAGCAGGCAAAGAAATGTTTGAAGAAGTATGTAGGGCCATAAATGTCTATAATAGGCTGGTCTGATCTGGGCATTGAAGTCAAGGAGTTGGGATTCAGTTGAAATCTGAAGGGTGGGTATTTGTGAGGCAAAGAGGAGGGACATAGTCTGAATACCAAGGCCAGAAGGAACACAGTGAATGAGAAAGACTGAACAAAACTGCCTGTTATAGAAAACAGTTTAAGAAAAGGCTGGCAAGGTAGGTAGATGTTAGGCAATGCACGGACGGGAGCTTGTAGGCCATGGGGTGTTTTTTTTGTTTTTAAAAATTTTGGGTTTTGAAGATAAGTTGCAGTGTGGAGAGTGGCTTAGGAATATTAAGTGTCGTCAGGTATGAGAGTAGTTACTGCTTAGTCTTAAAGATGATGATAGCTTGGCCCAGGGTTGTAAAGATGAATTCAGAATTTAGAAGGTAAAACTGAAATGGCTTGATGGATTATATCACAGAGGAAAAAGTCGAGAATAACTCAGTTTCTTGCTTGTGCTACTGGATAGTGGTAGTGCTGTCTACTGAGGAGGAAACAAGAAGGGAATTAGGTTTGGAGAGAAGCTCATGAGTTCTGTTTTGGACATTTTGAGATTGAGGTGTTTTAGGAGACAACCAGGCAAAGAATGTTAGATATGTAGGTTTTGGGGCTCAGAGAATTGGCTACCTGGAAGTGATAATTTTAAGTCTTTTTGCACATAAGTGAGAATTGAAACCAGCAGGTCTAGGTGAGCATAAGAAGAGCAGAGAGCCTATGGAGAAGCCTAGAGAAATTCCCAGAATTTAATGGCTGGATAGCAAAGCACGAGCCTACAAAAGACAAAGATCAGGAGCGGCGGGAATAATAGAAGGAAAACCAAGGATGTTGTCATGAAAATCAAAGGAGTAGTATTTGAAGAAAGAGAAAGTAGTCCATGATGCCAAATACTGCCAAGAAGTCAGAAAAAATAATGAAAGAAATCTGTCCTTTAACTATGGTAACCTGGAATTCATGTGTGAAGAACTGTTTTGTTGGAGTACTAGATGCCAAAGCCAGATTGGTATGGGTTGTGGAAGAACAAATGTGGGCAGTATGAATAGCAGCTCTTTTGGGAAATTGGAGAATGGAGAAGCTAAATCAGTAATTATACTATAGGTATTTGGTTATTGTCTCTGCTTTATTTTGTTTTAATATTAGAGATCTTTTTTAAAGTCGGTGGGAGATCCAGTTGAGGAAGAGAGGTTGATGATATAAGGTTATGACGCAGTATTAGTTTAGATGAGAAGAAGGGCAATTCCTCTGTTGGAACAGTAAAAGAAGAGTAGGGTGTTTGCAGTTATTAGTAAAATTATGTTTTTATCATTTGGATGCATTTTTTCCAATCTAATGCCTTTCCTCTTATCTCTGAAGTATGAGGGAAAAGCCATCTGCTAAGATTGAGAGGGGAAAGGGAAGGTTCTTCCAAGGTTTGAAGAAAGTATTCAAGGTTTGAAATAGTCTTTTTGGAAAACATGAGAGTGAATTTCCCAGAGAAAGGTTGTAGGTTCCTAAGCAATTTGAGAGCCCACTGGGGTTTGGTAATCTTAAATTCACAATGAAATCCAGCATGCTTTTATGTGACTCTCTCCAGCAGGGCTAAGCTGCTTGAGTGCAAATATGGAGACAGTGGGTCATTGAGGTTTTACCAGGTGGGTATGATGAGATTTAGGGCCAAGGAATTTGGGGTATTAACATGAATGTTATTGAAATGGTGGATCATGGGATTTAAGCTGGAAGGTAGTTTGTTATATTTACAACCAGTCACCAACTTCAATTAGTCAGAAATTTTATTGATGAGGTAATAGGTTACCCACATAATATTTGTATTTAATGTTAGGTAGATGGTTTGCATACAAAGCTATTTAAATCAGGTATGACACTGTAAACGAAATGGAATTAGCTTTGATAGGCCCAGGACTTTTATTAATTCATGGTTTTGTTATATTTTGCAGTAATATGATTTTTAGTCATTGATTTCTTTGTGGATATGGTGTTTCTGTTTTAACTATCGTGTTCACATTGTTGTAAACAATACTAAAAGTTGTAACTTGTTGTCTTGTTATTGTCTATTTACTGGTTGTATTAACCCCTTATATTCCATTCATCAGGAGACAGTTGAGGAATAAATAGTAATTAAACTGTATGATAAATCTTTATGTGACATCATGGATATTGTTGAGGTGATTTCTTAGACTAAGTGAAATCTAAATAGTTTATATGGTGATTTATATTTCCAGTAATGGCAGACCTAGTAATTCAGACCATTCCTCCCATCAAAAGGCAACTAAAAAAGGTAGATGATATATAACTATAAAGATTAAATTGAAAGTATCAAAAAAGCTAATAAGATAATAAGGAATTAGTGTTAAGGTATAGGAAATGATATAAACCTAAGGGAGCCAGCACTCAAGACCATTTTTGCCCTGGGAGCAAATACCAGTCTGGAAAGGATCTGGAGGAATGGAGTTAGTAATGAATAATAGTTCTATCCTTACACTTTCAGCTGGGATCCAAAGAAAATAGATTAAATCAGAAATAAACTATTCTTTGCCTGGGTAACACCCAGCCAGCAACTGGCTTTGATTCCATTGCATGGCCTAGGAAATTTCAAGTTCTGAACTTGGATTAAGGTCATCTTGGATTGCTGTTGTTCCCAGACACCTAGCAAAAGCAGTAAAAATTCTCTTTGGGGGAAAATAACCTTATTCTACACCTCAAATTATTGCTACAAACAATTTTTTTTTTTTAATAAACTAGGCAATCACATTTCATGAGTATGGCTTTTTTTTTTTTCCAATTTATTTATTTGACAGAGATAGATCACATGTAGGCAGAGGGGCAGGCAGAGAGAGAGGAAGGGAAGCAGGCTCCCCGCTGAGCAGAGAGCCCGATGCGGGGCTCGATTCCAGGACCCTGATATCATGACCTGAGCTGAAGGTAGAGGCTTTAACCCACTGAGCCACCCAGGCGCCCCTACAAACAATTTTTTAATAAAATATTCAACATAGAAAGATAACCTGACATAGATGGAAGTAGGTTACCAAGAAGGGGAACAGTAGAATTTATGCCACAAAAACAAACCACAGAAACTATAAATATTGGAATTATTGACACAGACTATAAAATAAAGAAGATTACTAGTTTAAGTTGATAGAAGCTAAGCTTGGAAATTTTTGGTACGGATTTATAAACTATAAAAAATGGGAAGCCTGGGTGGCTTAGTTGGTTAAGCAACTGCCTTCCACTTGGGTCATGATCCCAGGGTTGTAGGATTAAGCCCCAAGTTGAGCTCCCTGCTCAAAGGGGAGCCTGCTTCTCCCTCTCCCTCTGCCACTTCCCTGGCTTGTACTCTCCTGCTTTTTCTCTCTCTCTCTGTCAAATAAATAAATAAATAAAATCTTTTTTAAAGAATAAATAAATAAACTATTAAAAAATGACAAGGGCCACATCTTTGGCTCAGTGGGGTAAGCATCTGGCCCTTTTTTTTCTTCTAAGATTTTATTATTTATTTGACAGAGAGAGCACAAGCAGGAGGAACAGGAAAGGGAGCAGCAGGCCCCACCGCAGAGCAGGGAGCCTGATGCGGGGATTGACCCTAGACCCTGAGATCATGACCTGAGCCGAAGGAAGACGCCCAACCCACTGAGCCACCTAGGTGCCCCATAACAATCTGACTCTTGGTTTTGGCTCAGGTCATGGTCTCAGGGTCATGAGATCAGGCTCTGTACTCAGCGTGGACTCTGCTTAAGATTCTCTCTCTCTCCCTGTCCCTCAGCCTATACCTCTGTTCTTCCACGTACATTCTCTCTCTCTCTCTCTCTAAAATGAATAAAATCTGGGATGCCTGGGTGGCTCAGTGGTTTAAGCAGCTGCCTTCAAGTCAGGTTATGATCCCAGTGTCCTGGGATCCAGTCCCGCATCGGGCTCCTCACTCAGTGGGGAGCCTGCTTCTCTCTCTCTGCCTCTGCCTGCCACTCTGTCTGTTTGTGTTCTCTCTCTCTCTCTCTCTCTGACAAAAAAATAAATAAAATCTCTAAAAATAAAAAAAGTGGTAAAATGGTTGCTATGACGATATTGCCAGGCAAAGAAGAACAAAATCATACAATCATCTTTACAGGAACATTTCTATAACAAACCAACCTCTCTAATTTCGTGTCTCTTATGACACAGGGCTGTAAAGTGAAGGACCACATGGCTGCTCTTGAGGATCAAGGTGAAGGTGGAGATTTGCCGTCCTGCCCAACTGCTAAAATACTGGACGATCTCCACAAACACAAAGATGTCATCGTTGTGCCTTTTTCTAAAGATACGGTTAGGTGAGGCAGAGGGGAGAACGCTGTGCTGCAGCTTTATTTATGCTTCACATATCAGAATCCTCCATTCCCTAGTGTTTCCCCAAATCAATCCCCTGGTCGTTTACATCATTTCAGAAAGCTTACTGAAATTATATGTTAGCTCCCATTCAGAGCAAGCAGGTGTTTACTTGGTAGGAAAAATACTTCAAAATATTGGAGGTCCAAGGGGAAGAAAAATGAATAAAAGGAGTCTTTGGTGATTGAAAGTTTGGGACCCACAATTCATTTTTTTTTTTAAAGATTTTATTTATTTATTTGACAGAGAGAGATCACAAGCAAGCAGAGAGGCAGGCAGAGAGAGAGGAGGAAGCAGGCTCCCTGCTGAGCAGAGAGCCCAATGCAGGGCTCGATCCCAGGACCCTGAGATCATGACCTGAGCCGAAAGCAGCGGCTTAACCCACTGAGCCACCCAGGCGCCCCCACAATTCATTTTTTGAGGGTTTTTTCTTTGCCCAAGTTACTTAAGCCCTTCTTAAATGCCTGATTGATGCAACTAGAAAAAAAAAAAAAGTCGTTGAGGTCATCTTTGCATAAATTTGAACTCCTTGAGTTTAATAATTTCTTTTTTTTTTTTTTTAAAATTTTTTTTTTTTATTTGACAGAGAAATCACAAGCAGGCAGAGAGGCAGGCAGAGAGAGAGGAGGAAGCAGGCTCCCTGCTGAGCAGAGAGCCCAATGTGGGGCTCGATCCCAGGACCCTGAGATCATGACCTGAGCCGAAGGCAGCGGCTTAACCCACTGAGCCACCCAGGCGCCCCGAGTTTAATAATTTCTGAAGTCACTTCTGTCATTTTGCAGTTGCAGCAGGCGGTCAGGTGGGGGAGTGGGGGACCCTTTAATGAAGGCGTTTCTCACAGAAGTACCGGTCATAGCAGCCCGGTTCACAACCTGGCAAGTGTTTGGTAGTGCCGTGGTGCTCCCCTATGGTCAGTGTCTTCTGCTGGGGGAATCACTAGATGAATTAAGCAATGTAAATGTTGAGGTGACATACTTTATGCTCAAGAACTATGTTTCTAAAGAGCGATTTATAAAATATTTGCAATAAAAAAGATATCATTGGCATTTCACTTCTTATGAAATTGAACATTTCTCCATAAAATGTCTTTTTCTTTCAAGTGATTCTGGGGTTGGTCCCTGTGATGAGAAGAGTCTAGATTGTGATGTTTTACTGGAGCCAAATACACCATGGGGCCCCAAAAGTGTGGAGCTCAATGCTGTGAGTAGCTGTTTCACTTATTCTTTACTAATATAAACAACCGATGACATTTAATCTTTTTTTTTTCGATGACATTTAATCTTTAACAGAAATGTAATTGGTTTAAACTGAAATTAAAATATTTGGTTGAAGGGTGGCCGGTTAGCTCAGTTGGTTAGAGCGTGGTGCTAATAAAGTATTTGCTTGATAAGCGTTTACTGACTACCTGATCATAACAACAAGGTATTATGCTGAGTTAGTAGGACTCTAAGGGTAATAGGACATGTTCCTTGCCCTCGACTAATAACTAATCAACTTAAATTTGGGGAAAAAATTTAACATGGTCTTCAGAGGTTTTATTATGGACAACTAATAATTTGAGAATTGAAGATAGAGTGAATGAGATATTTTGTCCTCTCCTAGTTCTATAAATTTCTTTTGGTACGAAATTCCTTTTTTTAAATTGTAATCAGGAATTCATTTAGTTTTTGCAAGGTTTCAAAACAAATATTTTTCAGATGGCTGGATAGCTTTGATTTTTTTGATTCTTGTTACTGACAACCAGGGAATCTCCAATTGCCTGTGAACTTCTGCGCTTTGTATTGGCTGAGGTAGCATTTATTTGACAAAGTGAAATATTCCATGTAAAATGCATTGTAAACTTCAAATGTCTATAAATATTCAATTATTAACATTCATTTATGAATTATATACCACATAGCAAATTAGATTTCTTGAATATCCATATATAATCTGGTTCCTTAACTTAGAGTAAAATATAAACATTAAGAAGTAATTGAAGGGGCCCTTGGGTGGCCTAGTCAGTTACGTATCCGACTCTTGGTTTCAGCTCGGGTCACGATCTAGGAGTCATGAGATCAAGCCCCGAGTCACACTCTGCACAAAGTCTGCTTAAGATTCTCTCTCCTGCTGCTTGTGCTCTCTCATTCTCTCTCTCAAGCAAACAAATGCATCTTTAAAAAAAAAAAAGTGATTGAAATAGTTCAAAAAATAAGTTAGATTATCTCTACATGTGATTTGCTTATCCTTTGGAAATGACACTAGGAAGTATTGATTTTCTTTCTTCTTCTTCTTCTTTTTTTTTTTTTTGTAAACGTATTCTCTAGGCAGCAGATATAAAAAATTTGTAATACATCATTTTCTGCCTGAGTTTTAAGTTATGTTTCAACCTGGAAAGGACCTATACTTGCAGCTTTTTTCCAGTTCTTCCACAGTCTCCACATAAAAATAAGGAGCTGTAGTCTAGGTAGATGCAGATTTATTAATCTCCTATTCCTTTGTCTTTCTTATAGTTTTTGTCACTGAAAAATTGGACTCTGCAACTGGTAAGTAAGCAAATATATTCCACTTTCATGGATCTTTTTCTTCTGCAATTAAAGTTTCGTTTAATAGAATCTTACCAGTATCTTATTTTACAGATTTTAGTTCAAATCGGTTATCCTTTTCAGCTTCTGTAATTTTGCACTTACTGAAAATGCCATTGTTTAAAACAGACATACTGTATTATCTTGTTGTATACTCCTTATGTGTCCCTAATGACTTCTAAAACTCACATTTAAGTCACATTAGGACATAGAACAAAAAAACAAATCTATTAAATTCCAGGTGAAATTTGTTTGGTTGGTTGGTTGATTTCTTTTTTTTCTTTTACCTATTTGCCACTACTCTGCCATCTGCCACCAATATTCACAAGAATGCAACTGAAATTTGGATCAGTGATGGCAGAAAGTGGGGTGGGTAGGCAGAAACAGGAAGCTGATGCAGCTATTGTTGAGTAATCTAGGACCACATTTATCCAGAGAATGTGCACCTGTGCTTGCTTATGAGACTACTTTAATAATGGCAATTATTATGTTTTAATTTAATCTTAATATCAAGGAACATACATTCAGTTGAGTGATAGAGGTGCAGTTTGACAAATGCTGAGGACCTTTATGTGCCCATCACTCTGCTAGGATATGTGAAGGAAATAATTTAAAAATGTTTATTGTAGGGCGCCTGGGTGGCTCAGTGGGTTAAAGCCTCTGCCTTCAGCTCAGGTCATGATCTCAGGATCCTGGGATCAAGTCCCACGTCGGGCTCTCTGCTCAGCAGGAGCCTGCTTCCCCCTCTCTCTCTCTGCCTGCCTCTCTACCTACTTGTGATCTCTGTCAAATAAATAAAATCTTTAAAAAAAAAATGATTATTGTAGGGGTGCCTGGGTGGCTCAGTCATTAAGCATCTGCCTTCAGCTCAGGTCATGATCCCAGGGTCCTGGGATCGAGCTCCGGGTCCGGCTCCCTGCTCCATGGGGAGACTGCTTCTCCCTCTCCCACTCCCTCTGCTGTGTTCCCTCTCTCACTGTGTCTCTCTCTGTAAATAAATAAAATCTTTTAAAAAAAATGTTTAATGTAATGTGACCTTATCCTAAACATAGAAATTCTTATGCCCATTTCCCAAATGTTATACTAGGCATTGGTTACTTTATCAGATCTTGTGTGGCTTATTTAGAAAAGTGTGTTTGAAAAAAATTACTTATCCAAAATAAATTTAGATAAATGTGTTTGAAAGAATCCATAAGAAATGTGTTAATACTATGTTTTTTAAAGGGTGTGTTTGTTTTGTTTTGTTTTGTTTTTTAATTCAGAAACAACAATCGTTATTTTCAGAAGAAGAAGAATATACCACTGGATCTGAGGTCACTGAAGATGAAGTTGGAGATGAAGAAGAAATATCCAAGAAACAAAGTACTGATTTCTAAGATAAAATCAAGTATCACTTTTATGAAGAGGTAGCATTTTAAATGCTTTAATGCAAGGGATGAGGACTTAGCTATGTAAGTCTACATGGTAGGCTGCAACATGGAAAAAAAGAAAAAAGGAGCCTCCTCCATCAGGATTCCCAAATCCTGACACTAACACAGAATAACAAAAAGTTATTTTAAAAAGTGCAGTGTTCTGAGAAATAATCCTCCACATTTTCACTTCAGGTGTAACCTAATGGGTTTCTCAAAATGCATGACTTAACATCAGTGTGTGCCTGAGGTGATTTCAGGTGACACTCAAACGAAGCATTATGCAATAGTAATCAGAGTATGATTCTTTTTTTTTTTTTTTTTTAAGATTTTATTTATTTGTCAGAGAGGGAGAGAGAAAGAGAGTACCAGCCCGGGGAACAGTGGAGGCGGAGGGAGAAGCAAGCTCCCTGCTCAGCAGGGAGTCCTGATGTGGGACTCGATCCCAGGACCCCAGGATCATGACCTGAGCTGAAGGCAGATGCTTAACCGACTGAGCCACCCAGGCATCCCCAGAATATGATTCTTAAGAAATTAAAAACATGATTTTATACAACTACAGAATAAACTTGTGTCAAAAGTTTTGAGCTCTTTGGCAAGAGAAATAAGGGAAAAAATTAGTTCAAAGAGCATTTGAAGACTTAGGTATTTATAGGCATTTGAAAAAGAATGTTAAAGAGTATTGCAAGTTAGGTTCGAAACTAATTGATGTCTTATAATGCATTAAACCAATCACCTTTGAGGGTATCTTCTAAACAGAAATCATTTGCATTTCTGTTAGATACAAAAATCTGCAAGTTACAAATTTCACAGCATTTGGCCTTCAATCAACAGTAATAGGAGAGTCAGATACAAGGATATTTTCCTTGAGATTTAAGTATTTCTACATGGCCCCTTAAGCAGTCCTCCAGTATGACACTAAAAGGACATACAACCCTCCCTTTGTCTTTTTTCCAAGTTTTATATAATTTTTCTTGATGTGTCAAATACTCTTATTAAAAAACTAGTTATTTATCAGTTATTTTATTTGTCAATTATTTATAGTTATTTATCAATTATTTATCAATTATTTTTTTTATCAATTATTTTAAAATTATAATTAGTCAAGGAGAAATGCTACTATGTATTGTGTGAGGTTTTTTCCCCACAGTTGATTGAGGTAGAATTTATAATGGAGAATGAATATAATGAATTTTAATAAAATTCACCCATTTTTAAGTATACATATTGATGAATTTTGGCATACAGTTGGGTAACCACCACCAAAGTCAAGACTAGAACATCACCCCAAAAAATTAATTCCTGCCCTTTTACACTCAGTTCCCTTTCCCCAGTCCCACCCTGCAGGTCACCTCCAGTCCCACCCCACAGGTCACCACCAATCTGCTTTTGTCACTGTGGTTTACCTTTTCTAAAGTCTCATGTAAATGGAATCATCGGTAGTCTTTTGTGTGTGGCTTCTTTCACTTAGTGTGATGTTTTTGAGTTTCAACTATATTGTGTATGTCAGTAGTTTGTTCCTTTTTATTGCCCAGTAGTATTCCACTGTATGACTATACTATAATTTGTTTATCCGTTCACCATTTCATGGACATTTGAGTTGTTCCAGTTCTTGGTTATTATGAATAATGTTGCCATGAACATTTGCATAAAAGTCTGTGTGGACAAAGCTTTTCATTTTTCTTGGGTAGATACCTAGGAGTGGAATTGCTGGGTATATTTTGTCTAACTTTATAAGAAACTGCCATACTGTTTTGCAAAGTGTACCATTTTGCATCTCACCAGCAATATATGAGAGTTCCAGTTGCTACACATTTCTACCAGTTCTTGGTATTATTACTTTTTTTACTTTTAGCCATTCTAGTGATAAATTGTTCTAGGCATCTTCTCATTTGCTAATTGGCCATTTATATACCTTTTTCATGAAGTGTTTTTTTTTTTAAATGATGTTTTGCCTATTTTTTAGTTGGATTGTTTGCCTTATTATTGAATTATAAGCATTCTTTATATATATTTTGGATACAAGTCCATATGTTTTGCAAATATCTGTCCCCAGTTTATGACTTGCCTTTTTTTTTTATTAATGATGTCTTTTGAAGAGCCAAAGTTATTAAATTATCTTCATGAACTCTAATGTTTTAGTTTTCCTTTTATGTTTCATGTTTTAATGATATGAATCTTTGCTTACCCCAAGGTCACAAAGATTTTCTGCTATTTTCTTCCAGAAATTCTATGATTTAAACTTTTCTATTTAAGTCTATGATCCCTTCCAGGTTAATTTTTATATATGGTATGAGTTAAGGGTTGAGCTTCCCTTTGTTTTCCTATAAGTATAGCCAGTTTCCCCAGAACTGTTTGTTGAAAAGAATGTTCTTTCCCCTTTGGATTACCTTGACACCTTTGTTTAAAAACCAACTGATCATTTACATGTGGATCTATTTTTAAACTCTTTGCTCTCTTCTGTTGATTCTTATGTCTATTTTACATCAGTATATCAGTACCACAGTCTTAATTTTTGTAGTTTTTAGTGATTCTTGAAATCTGATGATGTATGTCCTTCAAAATTGTTCTTTTGTTTTAGATTATTTTGGTATTTCTAGGTGCTTTGCATTTCCTGTATTTTAGATTAAAGGTCACTATTTCTACAAAAATACTGTTGGAATTTTTTTGGGATTTTATTGAACCCAAGTATCAGTTTGGAGAAAATGACCTTTTTTTTTTTTTTTTTTTTTTTTTTTACAATGCAAGTCTTCTAATCCATGAATTTGGAAAGTCTGTCCATTTATTTAATTCTTTAATGTCTCTCAACAATGTTTTGTAGTTTTAGTTTTAGTATGTTTAGTTTTAGTTTTGTAGTTTTAGTATGTAGTTCAATATTTAGATATTGAACATCTTTTGTTAAATTTATTCCTAAGTGCTTTTTCTATTCTGTTATAAATGGAAGTAGGTTTTTAAAAAATTGTCCAGTTTTTCAGTTGGAAAATTTTTCAGTTGTTCCAAATGAACTTTTTTCTGTGTCCTTGCTAATTTCACTTAATTTTTCTTTGCTTATTAGATTCCTTTCCAATACATATGCCTTGTATTTCTTTGTCTTGCCTTTTGGCTCTGGTTAGGACCTCATGTTGAATAGAAGTGGTGAGAACAGACATCTTTACCTTCTCCCTGTCTTAGGGGAAAAGTATTCAGTCTTTACCCATTAAGTATATAATGTTAGTGGTTGGTTTCTCACTTTCTCATAAATGCCCTATCTCAGATTGAAATAGTTCTTTTCTATTTCTAATTTGTTGAATTATAGTGAATTAGTGTTGAATTTTGTCAAATATGTTTTCTTCATCTATTGAGATGATAATCTAGGTTTTCTCCATATATTAGTATGATGAATTACATTGGTTTTTCAAGTGTTATACCAATCTTCTCAGGTAAACTCCACTTAGTTATGAGGTATTTGTCTTTTTATATATTAATGTATTTGACTTGCTGGTATTTTGTTAAGGATTGTTTGTGTTTATGAGCAATATTAGTTGTTTGTTTTTAGTTTTCTGTGATGTCTTCAAGTTTGCTGACCAGAATAATACTGATCTCGTAAAATGAGTTAGACAGTGCTCCCCTCACTTCTCTGTTCTGAAAGAACGTGTGTACTATTTGTATTATTTCTCCCTTAAATATATGATAAAATTCAGCAATGAGGTCATCTAGACCTAGAGTTTTCTTTATGGGGAGGTTCTAAATTATGATTTTGGTAGCTGTAATATTGTACTATTCCGGTCTTTTATTTATTCTTGAATCTGTTTTATAACTTGTGCCTTTCAAGGAATTTCTCCATCTTATCCAAGTTGTCAAATTTTTTAGCATAAAGTTGCTTATGGTGTTTTCTTATCCTTTTCTGTCTGAAGGATCTGTAGTGACGTCCCTCTTTCATTGGTGATATTGGTAATTTGTTTTATCACTTTTTTCTTGATCAGTTTAGCTAGATGTTTTTTAATTGATCTTTTCAAGGAACCAGCCTTTGATTTTATTGACTTTCTTTATAGTTTGTTTTATATCTCATTGATTTTCACTTCCTTGTAATTGCTTTGGACTTAATTCCTTTTTTAGCTTCTTAAGGAACTTAAATCATTGGTGTTTTGCTTTTCTTCTTTTCTGATGTAAACATTTAAACTTGTAAGATTTGCTCTCAGCACCACTATTTCCCACAGACTTTGCCATGTCTTGTTTTCATTTATTTTCAACATAGAATGTATTCTAATTCCCCTGTTTTTTTTATTTGATCCATGTGTTATTTAGTAGTATGTTGTTTAATTTCCAAATATTTTCAGATTGTCCAGATACTTTTCAGTTACAGGTCTCTAATTTAATCCCATAATACTCAGAGAACACACTCAATGTGGTTTCATCCCTTACATTTTATTGACACATGTTCTAAATGTTCATGAAGAGAATATGAATTCTGCTGTTATTGGTGGAGTAGTCTATAAATGTCAAGACAGGTTGGTTTGGTTGTCTGTTCCAAATCTTATGTAATCATGCTTATCTTCTGACTGTTCATTTCTGACTTCTTGTTCCATTAATTAGTAAAAGAGAGTATTGAAATCTCCAGCTGTAATGAATTTACGTGTTTTTGTCTTTTAAGTCTACTCATTTTTACTTTGTGTACATTAGAGCTTTGTGATTAGGCATACATTTATAGTGTATTGACTCTTCATTATGATGTATTCCTCTTTGTCTACGGTAGAATTGCTTGTCTTGAAGCCTATTTTGTTTGGTGTTAATATAATCACTGTAGATTTGTTTACTGTTATCTTTTTGCTAACCTTTTATTAACCTTTTTGTGTTTTCTAAAGTATATATCTTGTAGGTAGCATGTTGTTGGAAATTGTTTTTTTATCCAGTTTGACAATCTTCAGCTTTTCATTAGAGCCTTTATTCTATTTATATTTAATGTGTTTAATGATAGGATTACATTAGTTCTGCCATTTTTTTTTTTTAATTTTAAGTAGGCTCCATTTCCAGAGTGGAACCCAACACAGGGCTTAAGCTCATGACCCCAAGATCAAAACCTGAGCTTAGATCAAGAGAGAGACGCTCAACTGACTGAGCCACCCAGGCACCCCTAGTTCTGCCATTTTGCTGTTCACTTTCTAATTATCCCAAATGTTAATGCTTCTCTTATTTCTCCTTTCCTGCTTTTTTTTGTGCTAAGAAAGTAATTCTAGTATATCATTTAATTTTTTTACTGGCTTTTTAGTTATAGTTCTTTACATTTGGTTGTTCTAAAGATTACAACATGATCTTTAACCTATCACAACCTACTTAAAGCTAATAAGAATAACTTGAAGTAAAATATAACCTTAAAATAATATAATTTTCTTAGCTTCCCCTTCTTTGTGTTATCGTTATATATCTATATATATTATATATAATTACGTTAGGGTTATGATTTTTGCTTGAAACAGTATGTCATTTAAAGAATGTAGGGGAACAAAAGAAAAAATATATATATTTAGTCTTTTATACATATCTACTATTTACTATTTTTTTATACCTGAGTTATCATGTGATGTTATTTTCTTTTATTCTGAAGAACTTCTGTTTCCTTATAGTGCAGGTATACTAGCAATAAATTCTTTCATCTTTATATATCTGAAACTGTCTTTATTTCACTTTTTATTTTAATATTTTATTCTTAATCTCTACACCCAACATGGGGCCTGAACCCACAACCCCAGGATCAAGAGTCATCTACTCTGAGGCATCCCTCATTTTGTTTTTTAAGTACAGTTTTCTTCAATATGGAATTCTTGTTTAACAATTATTTTTTTCTTTTATCAGTTTGTATTTCATTCCAATATCTTCTGGCCTCTGTTGTTTCTGATGAGATGTCAGTCATTGATATAATTGTTCCTCTATATGTAATGTGCCCTTTTTATGTTGATTCTTTCAAGATTTTATTTTTACTTCCAGAAGCCTGACTATGATATGCCTAAGTGTGGTTTCCTTTATGGCTCTCTTACTTGGTCTTTGTTGAGCTTCTTGGATTTGTAAATTAATGTTTTAAACAAAATTTGGGGAGCTTACAGTCATTATTCCTTTAAGTATTTTTTCTGTCCCTTTTTCTCACTCACATTCTAGAATCCAATACATGTATGTTAGACCTTTGATATTGTCCCATAGGTTTCTGAAGTTTTGTTTCATTTTCTTCATTCTTCGCTTTATTTTTTGGATTGGATAATTTCTAATGTTTGACTTCACATTTCACTGATATATGCTACCATTTCAGACTTTCCCTTGAGCCCATCTACTAAATATTTCAATTATTGTGCTTATCAGTTCTAGAATTTCCACTTAGTTCTTCTTTTATAGTTTCCATATGTTTGTTGAGATTTCCTGTGTGTTTATCGGATAACACCATTTTCCCTTTCAACGTATTTATAATAGCTGTTTTGAAATCATTGTGGGCTAAATCCAGTATATAAGCTCTCTCAGAATGTTTCTGTTGACTATTTCTTTTCTGAGTGGTTCATACTTTTCAGTTTCTTCATCTTGTGACTTTTGGTAGATTATCTGTGTAATTCCTATTTTGTTCTTCTGAGGATTGTTGGGATTTTTGTTCCAGTAGGCAGTTAACTTGCCTGACCCAAACTGCAAAATCTGTCTCCCTCATGTGTCCGCACAGGTTTCTTCTTGGCTATTAACTGCTACTATTTTAGCCTGACTCCCAGGGTCATACCAGCCAGTATAATTTTACTTGTCAGGCAAGGTTTTGGACAAACTTTGTATTCAGATTTGGGACTTACCTGCTTAGTGGTTTCCTTGATTTGTGGACTCCCCTTAGATTTCTAGTTGTTTTTCCTGTTCTAAGTAAGACTCCTAGAGCTTGAGCTCTATGCATTTTGGGAAAGCATTTAGTCAAAGGTACAAGAAACTCTGATCTCTCACCAAAAACAATTCTGTCTTACAGGGGTCAACACCTGAACCTAATTTCTGTTTGCCTGGTTAGCTAGATTTCCTCCAGTCTCCCATACACTTTCATGATTTAACACTCATTTGAGCAGAGTTTATAGTCACATTTTAGATCTTAAGTCTTTTGTGACTTTCTTCCAAAATTTTCCCTTTAAACTTTCAGCTTCTCTTACTTTGAATTCTATCGTCTTTTTCCTCGAACTCATAAGGCTGTAATTTTCCTCCCTTGGCTCAAGGTATTGGGAAGTGCCCTCAGGCAGAAAGCCATAAACTCACAGTTCTCATCTTATGCATCTTTTTTTTTTAAGATTTTAATTTTAATTCCAGTATAGTTAGCATACAGTGTTAGATTAGTTTCAGGTGTACAAAAGAGTGATTCAACAATTTTTTCTTTGAGATTTTATTTACTTATTTGAGAGAGAGAGAGAATGAGCATGAGCAGTAGGGGAGAGGCAGAGGGAAAGGGAGAAACAGACTCCCTGTTGGGCAGGGAGCCCAATATAGGGACCATCGCAGGACCATAAGATCATGATCTGAGCCAAAGGCAGCCACTTACCCGACCGAGCCACCCAGGTGCCCATGATTCAATTCTATACATTACTCTGTTCATCTCTATAAGTGTGCTCTTTAATCCCTGTCTCCTGTTTCATTCCTCACCCTCACCCACGTCCCTATTTTAGGCATCTTTTAAATGTAAACACTTTCTACCTCCCTATATTTGCCAGTACCTACAGATAACAGTTTATAATATTTTTGTTCTGTTTTTATCATGTTTTCTTTGAAAGGAACTTGTATTCACATTCCATTATCAAATCTCACCGTATCATGTCCATTAGCAATTTTATAATACTTAGTTTATCTCCTGTTTTAACTGTAAACACATGAGAGGGACTCAGGGCTTGTCAGGAGGCAAATAAATCTATCTAGATTTTTTTTTTAAAGATTTTATTTATTTATTTGACAGATCACAAGTAGGCAGAGAGGCAGGCAGAGAGAGAGGAGGAAGCAGGCTCCCCGCTGAGCAGAGAGCCCGATGTGGGGCTCGATCCCAGGACCCTGGGATCATGACCTGAGCCGAAGGCAGAGGCCTTAACCCACTGGGCCACCCAGGCACCCCTCTGTCTAGATTTTTAATACTGTTTTTATTTTATTATTTTATTTTTTTGAGTGAGTGAGCAAGCATGAGCATGAGTAGGGGAGGGGGTACAGAGGAGAGAGAATCTTAAGCAGGCTCCATACACAGCACGGAGCCTGACTTGGGACTGGATCTCAAGACCCTGAAATCATGACCTGAGACAAAATGAAGCTTGGGATGCTTAACCAACTGAACCCCCTCCCCACACACCCCCACTGCCCCAGGGCATCTGAGTTATTTTTGTTTGATTGTTTGTTTGTTTTATAGTATCTTCAAGGTTATCTTCCTTGTAGCACATTTTACAGGTTTTCCATTTGTGGTAGTAATATAAAGTTTCCTTTTTAAGATAGAGCAAAAACTACACAGCGTTTGTATACATCAATATACAAATAATTGATGTTTGGGAAAGTGATTTAATGTACCATCCTTACATTCAAACATTGATTTGAGAGAAATGCCCCTTTATCATCCTTCTTTTCTCTTCCTTTCCTTTCTCCTCTACATGGTCAGCCAGAATAAATTCAGAATATTGATTGTAGGAATGCACCAGTCCAGAATACAATTTGTCCCAAATCTGTTTCCTCCCAAGGTCATTTCTGTCCTATCTCCATTTTGAGTCTCATAGCTCTTCCTCCTCCCCAAGCAAAAGACATTTTAAAGTATTTTTTGTGAGTTCACTTATTCTACTCTCAAACTGTGTTTTTCTGAGTTATAGTTATTTTTATATACATAAAAATTTGGTATTAGGTGTTGACTCCACTATCACATTATATTCAGAGAAATATGTTGATTTTTTCCAAACATTTTCAACATCTAGTTTCATTGGGACTCTGAATTCATTGCCTTGATTTTTTCCCCCGAAGTTTTTCATCAAGTAGAAAGAAGAAAAGTAAAATGAACCCCTGTGAAAACACATTCAGTTTGACTTTTCCATATATTTACTTTTTATTTAGAGGTAATTTGTTAGTTTTAAGAAACGTGTTTTTTAAAATAGTTTTATTGTTTTATTGTTCATAAGTAACAAGTGCATTGGAGAAGTATGTGAAACATAACATTGACTTTCTGTTGTCAGGGAAAAAGGAAAAGCCAAAGAAGTTCACAAAACAACCAAAAAAGCAGATGTCTTCACCCTGTGGTCAGAAGAAAGAAAAGGCCCTAGAGAAGGTAGCTCTAAATTATCCATTACTGTTGTAAAGTTCATACTGAGAAATAAGCAAGCAAATACAGCCAAGGAAAATCTGAAGAAGAATAAAAATATACCACAGTGGAATGCCAACAGTATAAAAAATGAACAAAGTCCGTGCAAACTGAGATAAAAAATCTCCAAGATATATTGATAAGTGAGAAAAGGAAAGTGCTAAACAGTATGTGTTTTGGCATATTCTAACATTTCTGTAGCATGGATAGAGGAATATATATGTCTTTATATATGCATAAAATATCTCTGAAAAACTGCACAGGAATTTGATAAAGACTCATTGCCTCTAAAGAAGGAAATTGGGAAACAGACTTTTCACTATATGTGCTATTTGTAACTTTTGAATTTTGAACCAATATTACTTATTCAAAAAGATAGACTTTGAAATAAGCAAAGTAAGTAGACTTTATAATTTTTAAATAAATGTATTTTTGGCCTTTTAAAATAATTCTTATTTACCATAACTTTGAAGGAAGGGGTAAAAAGCCAGGTAGGAATAAAAGGACAGTAGTAACCACATTTGACTAAAAGAGAAACCATGGGTTCCAAAAATGTATGAAAGGCTGGGTTGTTACAAGTTCCACACAATTACACTGGACAGGTTGTACATTCACCTGCATGCTAAGTACCACAAGCACACAACTTGGTGAATTCTAAAAGTTTTCATAAGCTGGGGCATCCAGGTCAGACAGATAAAGCTGGATTCAAATTCTAGATCTGTATCTCTTTGGACAAGTTTCTTAACTTCTCTGAACCTGTTTTATTGCTGCTTTTTATTACTAACTATAAAACTAATCAGTAAATGTGTTCTAATTGAACCTTAATGTTGTCTACTCTTTTTTAGTCAACTTCTAGAGATGTGTCTCCTTTCATGTAAGTATTCCTCCTTAATCCAATCAGATACCCACTCTTAAAGCATCAATGCTGATTTTTGTTTAATTTTTCTAATAGTGTGAGCATGCAGAAGAATAAATGGGATGCCACAAGATCCTTGAGATTCAACCAGGATGCACAAAGGGAAGATGGTAAGTTTTAATATGTACATAATGTACAAATTAGGTATAAGTATCAATGATAGGAAACTTTCATTTTATGAAGTATGCTGAATAGCTTAAAATGTTCAAACTAGAATGAGGCTCAGAATTCACACATTCCCTTAGGAAGCAACCAGAATTTTTATTTGTTTGTTTGTTAAAAGATGGTTGGGGGGGGTGCGCCTGGGTGGCTCAGTGGGTTAAGCCGCTGCCTTCAGCTCAGGTCATGATCTCAGGTCCTGGGATCAAGTCCCGCATCAGGCTCTCTGCTCAGCAGGGAGACTGCTTCCCTCTCTCTCTCTCTCTCTCTCTCTGCCTGCCTCTCCATCTACTTGTGATCTCTCTCTGTCAAATAAATAAATAAAATATTAAAAAAAAAAAAAAAGATGGTGGGGGAAGGAAAGCTTTGCAGAATCCCAAGCAGGCTCCTCTCTGAGCACAGAGCCTGATGTGGGACTTGATCTCATGCTGAGATCATGACCTGAGCTGAAATCAAGAGTGGGACACCCAACCAACTGAGCCACCCAGGTGCCCCTCAACCAGGGTTTTATTAGTAGACAATCCCCGCAGATAATGTACATATAATATATATATATATGTATATGTATATATGTGTATATATAGTATATATGTGTATGTATATATATGTGTGTATGTGTATGTATATTATATATAGATGCAATATATATACATATATGTTACATATAATATACACCTGTGGTTTGGAGGTGTCAAGCTGATTGTTACCCCTTACTTGAACTCTAAAGATGACTATCATGTTTTAGGTTGGTTTACAGTAGCCTTAAAAGCGGCACAATTATCTATATGAGCCATTTACACTTGCTGCCTGAAGTTCTTCAAAGATAAATAAGTGTATATGTCTATAAAATGGTATCCAATGGTATTTTCATAAATTCTCAATAACTGAAGTGTTCTTTAAGAAATAAAAATTATAAATCATCCTCATAAAAAGTTACGTTTATTATTTTTTACCTCCAGATCAGCGACGGATGTCTGAAATTACAGGGCACCTTATAAAGATGAGATTGGGTGATCTGGACCGAGTCAAGTCAAAGGAAGCAAAAGAAGTAAGAATAATGTGCTAGTATACCGTGCTCGCTTAGATATACCTTCCTACTTTGTTTTCATCATGAGGTATATAAAGATGCTCTAGGCAGAATCTGAAAAGACCAATTTAAATACTTTAATATATTTTTATATTCTGTCCCAGTTAGCTTGACTCAGACAAATGTTCTCCATGTTATTATCCATGGCCCATGGGTCCTCTATAGCTCACATAGTAACGTAGGTTATTCCTGGAAGTATAATGTCACGCCAACAGTAGATTAACCATGAATGGCTGACCAAATACTGACTACCCAGAGGGTGACTTTTTGGAAGTTGCTGATTTCAGTTAACTCTGTAGGCAGTGCTTAGATAATATTTCTAAAATAAGAGGTCATCTTGCTGAAAGTGGTAACTAGAAATACCTATGTTCTTACTAAAGTTATGTATTAGTCATAACACTATTTATTAACATTAGTATTAGTATTATGTATTTATAATTACTCTTGCCCTAATTCTTTTATTTAAAAATTTACTTCCTTATAAAACTTCTAAAATATTTCTTTTTTTAATTTTAATTCCAATATAGTTAACATACAGTGTTAAAACTTCTAAAATCTTTGTGACCTTGGTTAGGCAAATATTTCTTAACCGTGACACCAAAAGCATGACCTATAAAAGAAAAAATTGACAATTTGGACTTCATCAAAATTTGAATGACACTATTTTTGAGTGTCACTTTTTTTTTAAAGACACTATTAAAACAAAAACATAAGCCATAATCTATGAGAAACTATGTGTAAACACTTACCTGGTAAAGGACTTGTGTTCAGAATATACAAAGAACTCTGAAAACTCAATAATAAAATAAATAATCCAATAAAACTATATGGGCAAAAGATTAACCAGACACTTCATGAAAGAAGGGCTACAGATGGCAAATAAGCACACAAAAAGGTGTAACATCATTAGTCATTAGGGAAATGTAAATTTAAACCTCAGTGAGACACCCCTGGATACCAACTAGAATGTCTTAAAAAAAAAAAAGAAAGAAAGAAATGCTGGCCAGGATGGAGAGCATCTGGAACAGCAAGTAGGGACACAGAAAGGAATAGGCCGCTTTGGAAAATAGTTTGTCAGTTTCTTATAAAGTTAAACACTTACTCACTGCAGAGATCAGTTCACACATGTTTATGGTGGTTTTATTCAGAATTGCCAAAAACTAGAAACAACCCAAATGGCCTTTACCTGGTAAATGAATAAGCCAACTGTGATACATATAAAAAAGAAAGAACTAATGATAAATCAGCAACATAAATGAATCTCCTACACATTATGCTAAAGTGAAAAAAGCCAGACTAAAAAGGCTCCAGGCTGTACAATTCTACTTATGTAATGTTTTGAAAAATGCAAAACTATAGAGACAATAAAAGAGATCAGTAGTTTCCAGGAACTGGTGGTGGCAATGGGTTGACTTATGAGAGGCACCAGGGGGTTATCTTGGGGCAGTGGAAGTGATGTATGCCTCTCTTGTAATGACGGTTATACCACTGTATGCATTTGTCAGAATTCAGAACTATACCGTACAAAGGGTGAATTTCACTGTATGTAAAACTATTCACAGAAATTATAATTCAAAGAGCCTGAATTTTAAAAATCAAAATAAAACTGCTTGTTAGCTAAAAAGTAATGCCATTTTAATAAAGCAGAGCTTCTGTTGATTCCATAAAAATAACAACTTCATTTTGCCACTTTACTCTGCAGTTCGCAGGAGGTATTTATTCCAGACTCGAAGCGCAAATCAAGGCCTCAGTGCCAGTCACTACACGGCAAAGCAGCTCAGAAAAAAATACAAGGTAAATCAGTATAAAAAATTCAGAATGCCACTGGCTTTGAAATAATTTTTTCTTTCTTTCTTTTTTTTTTTTTTTTTGGTGAAGATTTATTTATTTATTTTGAGAGAGAGAGAGAGCAAGCAGGGGGCGGGCCAGAGGGAGGGAGCGAGAGAGAATCTCCTGCAGACTCCCCCTGCCCTGCCCCTTGAGCATGGAGCCCCATGCAGGGCTCGATCCCAGGACCCTCAAATCATGACCTGAGCCGAGTCAAGAGTAGGCCGCTTAACCGACTGACCTACCCAGGTGCCCTGTGATTTTCTTTTTCTAGGGAAAATCATATGAACACTAGCAGCACATAATTGGAGTTTTGTTTGTTTTGTTTCAAGGATTAGATCATCAAGACACTAATCAGAACCAGATTTTAACTTAAACTTAAGGCTTGAAAAGATCATAAGCACAAAATTTAATGAGAGTTGTTTTTTTTTTTTTAAGTTTTCTGTTGATTGAATCAGCTCTGTTCTGAGCCAGCAGTGGATGGGAATGTAAGCTCTACTGCTCCTGTGAATTAGTAGAATTTTATACTTTTTTTAGGTTATATGTTATTTGTTTAAATCATTGAAGTCTTTCCTGTTCCTTTTATTTCTCTTAATAAAGTCTAACGTTGTATTCTCTGTCATTTTAAATCACAAATTTTCTTTTAAAGATTAACAGTTACTGAGATTGGATCATTAATACTACAGATCCAAATGCCTTATCAGCAATTCTGAAATCTGAAACCTCAGAAAGCCAACAAGACTTTTTTATACTTTGTGGCCACTCAAACCCAGACTGAGCTACTGTGATGCTATTTATAGTTTTTATTTATCTCACTGAATATAAATGTTCATTTGTTTCACTGAAGAAACATTAATGTGTTTGATTATAGGGCACCACTCCAATCCATAATATACAATATATATATGATGTTATCTCCCTACCCCCCCAAAAAAATCTGAATTCCAAAATATGTGTCACTCCAAGGGATTTTAAAAATGTATTATGGGGCTACATGAAATTTCATTAAACTTTGATGCTGTCAAGCAAGCATAACGTAAAGCAACAGCAACTTCTTATTATTTTAGAAGCACCTCTGACCTTCTTTTCTATTTAAAAAATCTAGGTCTAAAAGCCGTTTTGGTCCAGGGCGTCCTGCATAAAGCACCTTAACTATGACTAAAAAGAAGACAGACCTCTGGACATCTGAAATCGCTCACTTCTTGAAGATCTTCAGAACAATGACTTCTAAATGTTTTAAGTTATTTGTTAATTATTCTTGCAAACTACATAAATCATAACACTGAGGGAAACACATAGTTAGGCCTTCTGGAACCTAAAATTGTAAATATGAAACTTCTTAAATCTGATTTTCCTTTAATGTGATACTAGGCTATATAGAAAATTAGCATTTACAAATTTGCATAGTTAAGACTCCTTATATTTGTTATCCTTTATTTATTTGAAAGAGAGGATACCTAAACTCTCAAGTAGCTAAGACTTTTTGAAACCTTAAAAAATTAAGGGACCACAGCTGGGTGGTGGTGCTGTGCATGTCTTTTGGGCTGTAAATCTTGGGATAGCACTGGGAACTGCAGCTTATGTGATGAAACTCCCAGTGATGCTAATTTTAAGTTTGCATGAATATTAAGGAGTGACAGGTCTCCAGATTGCATTAAATAAATTTTCAGGGTGTGAGGTATTTCCTGTGTTGGCCAGGAGGGTTAATTTTTTTCAGCATTATTCCATGGAAAGCACAATGTTAATCCACCTTGTTTTTCTTTCAGTTTTTAATGCTTATCTGTTGGTTATCTGAGCTGAAATTACTGATTATTACCTCTTGTTCTGTGACACTAGTGCCATTCTGAATGTGTTAAAATAACTATTGATAGTTTTAGGATCGTGAATCATTTCAGTTGTTTGAAACACGCACTGTGCAGTTCTCGGGGCTCTAAAACTTAACCATATTTCGAAAGCCATTCAAATAGCCCCTTCCAACAGTTAAAGTTATTTTTTACTTTAGCAATATCTAGAAGGCAACATTCCCAAATACATTTGATGGGTGAAAAATGGCATGCATTCAGTAGAAATCATACTAAATTCTGTTTTATAGATCATGTCTTAATTTTTCTAACCAAGCAGAAAGAGTGCTCAGGGAAAATTTGTTCCAAACCATAAGCATATAAAAAAATTATGTGTTTGGAAATTACTTGTGTGTAGACCTCTGGAAAACTTTAAGATGCACTATTTCTATTTTCAGTCTTCATTTGTCTTGTAATTGGAATTTCTTCAAATTATTTAGAGAGCAGGCTTTGATAACGTGTGACAGAATGGCAGTCTCTATTGAAATACTGAAGTGCTAAACTCAGTTAACACATACAGAAATCATTTTAAGTGAGTGTTTTAGCTGATAAATGAAGCTAGATGTTACTCGATGTTATATGTGTGGCTTTTCCAAGTTTTTTGAACTTCTGTTTGCAAATTTTATTCCAGTTTAGATGTTTTTCAGTTGTTTGATGTTTTTGAAATAGATTATAAAATTTTTATTTTCAAAAGAAAATGTTTTATGGTACATGATCTGTAAGCTCTGTTAAAAACCAGAGTTTTGTTTTTCTTACTGTATTCTCAAAAAGGCTTTAGGCTTGTCCATGTTCTATGGTGCAGTGATGGTCACTACTCGAAGAGGAAGTCTGCTCTTTAGATTTTTAACTAATGGTAAAAAGGCAAATTGCTTCTCCCCTGGGAGGACTGTACCAGTGAATTGATTTTTACCAACCAGAATTTATCGGATTTTGATTCTCTTCAGAATATGATTTTTATTTTGTTAGTGTCTGTAATATATAGCACAGTTACCAAAAACATTGTAATCTTATTCTTAATAGTACTTCTTTTGCCAAATACTTCAGAAGGGTTTTACTTTACATTAATTCTGAATTCACGTGTCTTTAATTGAAATAAATGTTAATGTCGAGAGTTGTTTGCAAAGTCCCTTGATCTGAATCATTCCACCCTCTCAGAAATAGTCCGGGTGGGCTCTAGAGCACAGGCTTTCATGAAAAAATTAGCTCCTTTAAAGGTATACTTTATACGTTTTAAGATGGCTTTAAATGGGGTTATCCTGGTAAAGATTCAGCCAAATATCTAAGGGATAAAATATTGCAGAAAGATTACATGGTAGCAGAGCTGATTCCACACTATTGCATCATGTTGTCATTTTCCCTCTTCAGAACATTCAGCCAGATATTGTGAGATGTGCTAATTGCTTTGGAAGCTGAGGCTAAACCCCTATGATTCTAATCTGCTAAGGGCAAATTTTAATATAAAAACAACAGAAAATACCTTTTACTTCTAATTCCTGGGATTGATTCTTCAGCTATCCTTCAGCTATTCATTGAGCAACTATTACGAATCTCACCTTTTTGTACCTCCTAGGTAAAAGGTACTGGGATACCTAGCCAGTTCAATTCAAATAGACTAGCTTCCCCACTCTCATTTAAAGTCCATCTGGTGGGGAAGATGGTGTGGTGACCACAGTGTTCCCACCCTTATGGGATTGTTGGAGGATTAAATGACTTAAATCTAAAACAATTAGATCAGTCCTTTCTGGCTTATAGTAAACCCTCTATCAATGTTAACTATTATTATTGTTGCATAGTTATTTTAATATTTGCAAAGTAGCCTTAAATTCTTTAAGATGGGAGTTTTATATCCCTCTTCCTATATTTTGAATTGCTAAGAATGGTAGGTGTGGGTATGTATTTAGTGCAAGAAAGAAAAGAGGCACTTAATACTTTGGTGGTTGTTATGGCATCATGTGTTACTTAAATATATTAAAGGGTTTGGCTTATATTTAGACAAAATTAACAGAATTTGAGGGAGGAGCTAGATAGAAAAACCATTTCCTGATATTGGTAGTGACCTATACCGTTTTCGGATGTTTACTGAAGGAGAGAGTGAGAACTACAGATAGTCTTAGAGCTGCCCTTCTGCCAAAATGTATCTTTTCTTTCTTTCTTTCTTTCTTTTTCTTTCTTTCTTTCTTTCCTTCTTTCCTTCTTTCTTTCTTTCTTTCCTTCTTTCCTTCTTTCTTTTTTTTAATTTATTTGGCACAGATTGAGAGAGAGAGAGAGAGATAGCAAGCTCAAGCAGGGGAAGTGGCAGGCAAGGAAGAGGGGAGCCTAATGCTGGGCCCAATCCCAAGATCCTGGGATCATGACCTGAGGGGAAGGCGGCCGCTTAACCAACTGAGCCACCCAGGGGCCCCATCCCCTCACTTTCAATCTACATGTGTATTTAGGTCTGAAATAAGTCTCTTGTAGGCAGCATTATAGATGGGTCTTGTTTTTTTTTTAATCTACTTTTTAAAATCTATTCTGTCACCCCATGTCTTTTGATTGGAGCATTTAGTCCATTTACATTCAAAGTATATAGGGATGTAGGTATAGATATGTATTTTGCCATTTTGTTACTTGTTTTGTGGTGGTTTTTGTAGTTCTTCTCTAATACCCTTTCTTTTTCTTGCTCTCTTCTCTCACAGTTCACGGATTCTCTTTAGTGATTTTTGGATTCTTTTAATTTTTTGTGTGTCTATGACTGTTTTTTGATTTGTGGCTACCATTAGGTTTGTTTATAACATCTTCTGTATATAGCAGTCTATATTAAATTCATGATCACTTCAGTTTGAGCCCATTCTTTATTCCTCTCCACCCCACATTTTAGCTGCACGGTGTCATACTTTACATCCTTTTATTTTGTAAATTCCTTGACTGATTTTTACAGATACACTTACTTTTACTGCTTCTGTGCTTCTTACTTTTCTTATGGTCTCTCCTTGCCACTCCTAGAGTCCCCTTTAATACTTTTTTTGTAGGGCTGGTTTAGTGGTGATGAACTCCTTTAGCTTTAGTTTGCCTGGGAAACTCTATCTCTTCTTCTATTTTGAATGGTAGGCTTGCTGGACAGACTATTTGTGATGAAGATTTTCTTTTCCCTTTCAGCACTTTGAATATATCATGGCACTTCCCTTTGGCCTGCAAAGTTTGCTAAAAAGTCTGCTGATAGCCTTATGGGTTTCCCATGTATGGAACTGTCTTCATTTCTCTTGCTGCTTTGAAAATTCTTTTTCATTACTTTTGCCATTTTAATAACTGTGTGGCTGGGTGTGGACCTCCTTGCGTTGATTTTGTTGGGGGAATCTCTGTGCTTCCTGGATCTGGATATCTGTTTTCTTCCCCAGATTAACAGTTTTCAGCTATTATTTCTTCAAAGAAATTTTGTGCCCCCTTTTCTTTCTCTTCTTCTTCTGGGATCCTTATAATGTGAATGTTATTACACTTGATGGAGTCACTAAGTTCTTTAAGTCTAGTCCCATTTATATAATTGTTTTTTCTCTAGCCTTCTTGGCTTGATTCCTTTCCATTATTCTGTTGTCCAGGTCATTAATTTTTCTTCTGCTTCCTCTGGCATACTATTTATTCCATACAGTGTACTTTTTATTTCATTTATTATGTTCTTCATCTCTGATTGGTTCTTTTTACCTCTGTGTTAGTGTCTCACTGAGGTCCTCCATTCTTTTCTCAAGTCCAATGAGTATCTTTTTATGATCATTACTTTAAATTTTCTATCAAATTATTACTTATCTCCATTTCTCTTAGGTCTCTTGTTCTGGTTTTGTCATTATTTCATTTAGGACATAGTCTTCTGTCTCCTCATTTTGTCTAATACTCTGTGTCTGTTTCTCTGTTGGGAAAGTCAGCTACGTCTTTTGATCTTGGGGGTAATGGCATTACGAGGAGGGGGTCCTCTCGTGCAGTGCAGTCTAGGGTCACATTGGGCCTGAGTGTAGGCAGACCAGGCATTTGCCAGAGATGCAGTAGCACCAAACTGCTGGATGCTTTCCCTGTGTTGTCTCCTGAGAAGTTTTTGTTGGTGGGTGGAGGCTGCAATGAGCAGACTGTCTGCCCCTAGCCCACTGTTGGGGCCATTGTCTAACTGGTGTGTGTGGCTATCTACCCCTCACCCCAAGGCAGGAGTAACTTTGCAGTAGTGTTGGCTCCTGTCAGGGCAGCTTGCACACTGCCAGGCTTATGGCCCTGGTTAACAAGGTATATGCTGATCCACTTGTGAAATGAGACCGGCTGCCTTGCAAGGACCAGGGCCAGCCTGGGTGGATCTGCAAAGCATACATGGACATGGTACATAATTTTAACAAGGCACATGCAGGACTTAGGCAGGGCCCGTTAAATGCAAAGTTCTCTGGTCAGGAGACTCAGTATTGGCAAGGTTTGCACCAGTCTTCTGGGGGAGAGGACTCACAGCACAGGGAATGAGGTGTGACTGGAAAGGGCAGATCTGCCAAAGCCAGGTGGGGTGCTCCCAGCAGTTTGTAAGAGACCTAAGTGAAAGGAATATAAGTCATATGCTTGATAGAGATGTTAAAGTAATGATTGTAGGGGGCGCTGGCTGGCTTAGTCAGAAGAGCATGTGACTCTTGATCTAAGTTTTGAGTTCAAGCCCCACACTGGGTATAGAGATT